TTCACATAGCTGAAGTTCATCTTAAATCACAAATGTTCTGCAGCACCGACTGAAGGACCAACTTAATCGTACATACATTCATAAGTACATTTAAACCAGTGACGCTGGTAAGAAATGTAGCTGAAGCCTCATATCTGACTCAGATCTGTAATAAAAGGGCAGCTTGCGAAACTTTTACCTTTTGCACTGTGTGGAAACTTTGGGCTCAGAGCGAGCGCAGCCTGTGGGATTTATCATGAGTGGGAGCTCCATTAGAGGGTGCCGGCCGTATCGGAACTGGTAGTTCTGGCAGCTTTCAACTCCAGGCAGCTAAAACATGAACAAAGCAGCTCTTAGTGATGATCGGCTCACTGAAACATGGTTGCCTGCCAGTGGCTGTCACCCCATGGAGCAGATCCTTACCGACTCAGTGATTCGCATGACGGCGTGGACAGTGAGTCCGTACATCTCCTCCCCCTTCACATGTTCGGTGAACAGCTTCAACATGGACGAATCATCTCGGAGTTTAGCGACCTGCTGGACGATGCGTTCCCAGATTCCTGCAGAAAGAGGCAAGGGGATGTTTTTCTTAAAGGTTGTTACATGATAAAATGTGATGAAAAATCCGAGGGGGTATGAATACTTTGGTATAACACTAGAAGAATATGGTCCTTACCCTCTGCAGTAGTGTCACGATAGTGCAAATCCTCCAAGCCGTGCTCCAGAACCCGCACCTCAAACAGCGGCCGGCCGTCGTCCTCGCTGATGCGACAGCGGTAGCGGCATCGCTTGTTAGGCACACGAGTGCTCCAGTAGATGCGCGTGGCCTCATACCCGACGGGAAAGATGGCGGTGGGGGAGTGGAAGTTTGCCATTTGTGAGGGCAGCAGCTGGCCAATCGCGTGGAAGATAAGCCCACCAACACGAAACAGGTGGATGCGGTCGCTTCGCTGAAGTATGCTGGCGATCTGCTTCACCTCGTCTCTCTCGATGTAAACACGCCGCAGAACGGCAAAGGTGCTGAGTTCGTCCTCACTGGGGCCCTTCAGCTTGTGCTGGGTGCACAGCATGGTCTTGTCCTTGAAGAACATGCAGCGCGCTCTGATGGCGCAGGCAAAATGGTAGACGTTAGGGCAACGCAGTCTGTTGCAGCTGTTGGTGGCACCAGTCTTCTGGCAGTACGCACAAAGAGTCCGCAGCCCACGACGCAGGGCTACCTCCACGTTGATCAGGGCGCCCCCCTGGGTCTCATACACCTCCGTGGACCACAGGGCACAGTTGAGGTGCACCCACAGGTCTACATCTATGTTGAGCAACCGCCCAGGCCCATCTGTGGCGCCGTCGCCTTCCTCATGGCAGAAGCAGCATTTGCGTTTGTCCCGAGGCAGCTTTTCAGGGCGAAGGGTGATGCGCAGGCGGTCCATCAGCTCCGACACCTCCCGGCTGGTCTCCTTCTTGGAGCCGCCCTTTCGTATAGTGATGACAATCTGAAGACGCTTCCAGCGAATGCCCTTCCATTTTTTTACTTTGGAGTGCGCCACCTCCTCATCGGGAGAGAGAGGCCTGCGTTGCTTCATAGCTTTAGGAGAAGAACCTATGAGGCTGGGAGAATCTTTAGACTCCATCACACAGTTCTCCTCCTCCTTGACAGCAGGACTTTTGTGAACTTCAGCCGACTCCATGGGATCAGACGGCTCTGAGGTTGGTTCACTATTCAACACCGAAGCAGGAACTTCAGCTTCTGCAACATTAGCTGATTGTGGAACATCGGGCGTTGAACCTACATCCTGATCAGACTCTGTCTTGGTAGGAACATCCACAGGACTGCTGGAAGGAGGAGTTGGAGATGCAGATTTTTTAGGGGATTCAGCCTCATTAGTAGGGACTGGCAAAGCTGGAGGAGGCTGAGGAGGAGATGGTGAAGGAGGTGGGGATTCCTCCACTGGTATAACAGGGAGATGGCGTACGTCCAGATCACTGACATTGGTTGTATAACAGTGCTGTGGAGGTTTGTCCTCCGTCTCTTGGAATTCCTACAAGAAAAACGCAAGGATTAAACCATGTTTTTGGAAAAATAATATCCAGCGGAAAGGTTAGAAGAGAACAATGTTGGCAAACCTGCTTAATAAGGGACAAAATGTCCACTTGTTTCTTCAGGGTGCAGCCAGGGAGAGAAACATCAAACTGCCTCAGCCAATCTTCCTGACTGAGGGAGGTGCCATCCTTTGTGCAAAGCGCCCCTGGAAAACAGGACCACTTCAACATTAACGCCAAATATTCACCTCATAAACCAAAACGATTAAATGTGGAGAACTAAAGATCTAGAGTATGAGAACTGCAATCTACCATTATAAGTTGTGTCAGAGCGTCTATAAATCAGCCAGCTCCATGTTTAATTGAATCAATCTATCCATCTGAATGTAAACTGATAAAAAGAACATCAGACTGCTCCACTAACAATTATCAATCTAAAAGTTTGCCTCCAAGTCCCAGAAAGTCTTTAACTTGAAGCTCATTTAGCATTTTACTGAGCATTTTAGTCTCAGATTAAACCAGTTCTTAAGATGCAACTGGAGGCTGTCTGTTCACAACCTACCTAAGTTTTAGCAAATGCCCTCATTACTTTGCCTTGCAAGCAAAATCCATTGTTGCGAGACTTTTGAATTCACAAACTCCCAAAATACATCTTGCCAGGAGCCAGCAGATATGTTTTACCTTGATACAGAAATTATTGGGACCAATGAAATGCAGTGATGTTTAAAGATCAGCGCTTCAACCAGTGTCGGAAGGCAGACACAAAAAAAACATGGCTGTGCGGGACTTAGCAGGAATACCCTCTATTTCTTTTGGAAAATGAGGAAAGGACGGGACTTGTGAATGGGAAGATGGTTGCAAGACTTATTTTGCACCATAAAAGCACCATCTTGTTTAAAGTTTCTAAACCAAGATTTATTTGTGTATATTTACATAAACAGAATATGTTCATTCAAGTCCTCCTGTGTAAAGTAATTTCTTTAAATGTTTCCAAATATAAAGAGAATTTTCCAAACTGATTGTAAATTGTTTGTTATTCTGGTTATGAAGATGGTCAAATGGATTTTAATCCATGGTTTAATCCACATTTTCATCACTCTTATCTTTATCTCTGTTTCTAGCATCTTCAATACTAGATCCCTTTCATAAAGGCACTAAAAGATAATCCAACTGGTCAGATTTATTACTGGCAAGCAGATTTTCAATATAATGATGTACTTAATCAGAGCTGTGCCAAATGTTATCTGTGATTCAATAAATGATGCGGCTCTGTTTGAAACTATGCTTTTATTTTCAATGTCATTGTCAAGCATGTTTAAACCTGGAAACAAAGACATAAATTAAAACAGTTCTCACCTGAGTGACCAGGTCCTTTCTCAGGCCCGTCCACTCCAGGCAGCTCAGGGTTTTGGGGAGAGTACGTGACCTCGTAGGTTCCTGGCATTTTAATGTGCAGCAGCTGAGCCATCGCCATCATTACATGATTTAGCTTCTGAAAATATAAAAAAGTCACACGTTTCAATTTAATTAAATTAGTTGGAATAAATCTAATAAGAATAAATCTTTATTTGTTCAGGTGTATTGTTACCTTGGCTGCAGCAGAAGACATCGTCAAGGTAACAGACACCTCATTGCTTTTGGTCTTGTCCCAGTGGTTGGGCATGCAAACAGTCTTCCCATCAGACGCCTCGAATGGTTTGTTTTCCGGGAATGCTGCAAAGTTAACGAGAATACAATTATTTAAAAAAAAAAAAAAAAAAGAAAAAAAAAAGCCTGTAACAGAGAAGCTTACTCGAGCCCTCGTGAATAAATTCTGTTAATCTGAGGGCAGAATACCTGGAATGGCGGTGCGAGGTATGAGGGGTATGATGGGGGATATTGCCCTCTCCGTCTCCTCCTCCTTGGGCTCCAGCAAGTGAGGAAAACGAGGATTTACGTCTCCTAGGTTACTCTCGGGTGATGATGCAGGGATGATGGTTTCTGGAGTATCTTCATCATCACTTTCCATCCTGCCAGGAAGATAAACTCCACTTCATCAGCTCTTCTTGTTCGGGCTGAAGTAGAGCTCAAAGCTAATGAATAATCATACCTGATATCCTCGTTCTGATTATGTGGTGGCGTGGGCAGGGCGGCAAGGATGTCTACACTCTTCACGTCCTGGGCTACAGAATCTGAGGATGATATTGTTACACGTTTAGAATCCAGCATCATGACCACCTTGCTATGATGTGAACAAACTCTTACCCAATGGCTGTTCTGCTGCTTCGGAGTCCTTCTGGTTCTCAGGGAGCTCGTCGCCAGGAGTCACGCCATTCAGCAGCTTGTGCTGCACCGATGGAGGTGGAGTGGGTGGTAGCGAGGAAGGGGGTGTTGGGGGATTGCTGAGGTTACTCTGTAGGCATACAGACAGTTAGCTTCAAGGCTTCCTTCTTCACTCTGTAATTGTCACCACATGAACATGCTGTGTAGCTCTGTTATACCTTAGTAAGTAGCTGAGAATAGTAGTCTGGGATATTGTCAAGCACTGCATTTCCAAACGATCCTTTCAGCTGGTCCTTTCCATTGGCTGGACTACTTCCAAAGGGAGCAAAGAGATCCAAGCTGGCGCTGATCGAGGGCTCCATCAATGGAAGCAAAGATAAACCCTGGAAATGAAAAGTCCACTTAGCTTTTCCATATATTAGATTGAATTATTTAGGAAATACATTTGACGAAAAGTTTACCTGTTTGAGTTGTTTTATTAGGGTCTCTGTGCTTTTGCCAACTTCCTCCTTTTTGTTCTTCTTCCGTGAGTTGGGCCCCCTGTCTCCAGGTGGCTTATTGATGCGCTTTGGCTTCTGTACAGGAGGCCTTTTAGTGATGGACTGCAAATCCTGTGAAGTTCGACATTAGTTTATTTTTCTCCCTTTGAATTAAAAAATAAAACAAGTTGAAAAAAACTCAGTAATACCTCCATATTCCGTGGCGTCCCCTGGAGCTTCTGCTCCAGCATTGCCAGTTTGTCATTGATGTGACCGTTGATCTCGTTGTGAATGCCTTCAGAGGGCCTCTGAGCATTAAGCTGAAGGTTCTTGGTTTTCAGCAGCTTCTGCAACAGCTGCTGTCCGGTCTCAGACCTCGGGCCTTGGCCCTCAAGATCTCTTGGCATGTTACCAGCATTAATAAAGCCTGTGTTGTTCCCGGACGTTACCGTTTCACCTGATGTTTCTCTCTTTATAGCTCCTGGATTCGCCTCTGAGGATCCGTCACACTGAACCTCCCTCGGTTCCTGTTTAATGTTTTGTATTGGGATCCGGCACTGCTCCCCTGGTTGCGTGCATGTTTCTGTAACTTGCTTCAACTCTTGCTGAACGTTCATGCATTTCTGAGGCCCATTAGGAGTCACCGGAGTTGTCTGTGTTGGTTCACTGCTCGATGTCTGAGTCTCTACTTTCAATCCAGGACAATCAAGCGGACTCCTGGCTCCAGGTGACCTGAGCGGAGATGACTTGACTTGGCTGAAAGGGCTGCCTCTGCCCGCTCTGTTATCAACCACAGAAGGAGAAGAGGCATGGGAGGAGTAGGGCGAGCCTGGGTGGGCTGGGCTCATCCCAAAGGGACCTCTGGGAGAATATGCATGCGATGGGGAGCCTGGGACTCTTCCTGCTGCAGCTGCCATTAATGCCTGCTGTTGGGTCTGATTGGGAGTGGGCGGGCGCAGGGGCTGATTGAAGACATGCCGCTGTGGATCTCCAGGGGAGCTGACGAGGGGCTGGCGTGGAGAGTTTGGCCTCAGCATACGGTTCTGCTCCATCGGGGAACGTGGCATCTGTAAATGTCCTCTCATCATATGCTGCTGTTGCTGCTGCATCATTTCTCCTGTTTGTGGCGGCTGCTGCTGAGCAGGGATCATCATCCCTTGCTGCACCTGAGAGGCAATCGCAGGTTGCTGGCCAAACATGCCTGGTTGTTGCTGATTGGCTAGGGCGCCTGCTTTGCCGCCATAAGGCATCTGATGGCCTTCCATCCCCATCATTTGCTGCCCAACCTGTGGCCCCTGGGCCCTCATTTGACCTTGCTGACCCTGGCCTACGGACATCCTCAACAGCTGCCCCTGATGGAGCTGCCTCTGCGCGATCATAGCATGAATGTGTTGGATCTGCTGATTTTGGGGTAGATTGCGGAGCTGAGGATTCTGGGCGATAATGGCTTGGATGTTAATGGGGGTGCGGATCTGTCCAGGTGGAACACCGGGCCTCTGTGCCATCATTCCTTGATGTTGGGCTCTCATCATGCCCATCATGGCTTGCTGCTTCTGCTGCTGGGCCATGAGGGCTTGCTGTTGTGGATTCAGAGCCCCTGCAGCGGGCTGAGCCTGCCCCGGATTGTTCTGACCCATCATTTGCTGCATGCTGGGTTCCTGTGATTTCTGTGGGGTGTTTTGAATGACCTGTTGCTGCTGTTGAAGAAACTCAACAGATTTGCCCTCCTCTTTAACAGGCATCAAACTGGGTTTATCAGCACTAAGGGAGCCTTGTCTCTGAAGACCCACTGGATGCTGCTGCTGGGCGACACTGGTCGGCTGATTTACAGTCCCAGGTTGTTGTTCGTGGACAGCCTGAGAATTCAAATGGTGATGCTGAGTTAAGTAAATCTGCTGCTGCTGCCGCCCCTGGTCCAAGGGATTATTAAGCTGTGAGCTCTGATTAGGAGTAGAAGATCCACTCTGCTGTGGTGGAGTTCTGGATTCGGGGCTTAAGATTCCACCGTCTTTGACTCCTGCATTTTGGCTGTCAGTAGATCCCTGCGGCTGAGGTGTGTTACTTCCTGCTGAAGGCGAGGAGCCCATCTGCGGGGTGGACGGCTGAGAAAGCGCCCCCTGGTCTTGGCTGGGCTGATTGATCATTGGTGTCGCTTGCCTCATCTGTGCCATCTGCTGAGGAGATGCAAGCATACGCTGGGCCACAATGGTTTGCTGCTGCTGGGTCATCTGAGCCGTAGGTCCCCGGAGACCAGGGTGACCGGGGGATCCGACCACGCCCTGCTGGCCGATCATCAGCGGAGGCCTTGGCTGCTGTGATGCCTGATTCGCCATTAATCCCGGCTGAGCCGCCATCATGCCCTGAGGCTGGTTCATAGGCTGACCCGTTACCAGGTTCTGCTGTGGTGGAGCTGCCAACTGACCTCCAACCATTCCTTGTGGGACTTGCACCATGTTCTGTTGATTAGCCTGAGTGGCCATTATTCCCTGTTGACTTCCTGCTTGATGCTGAGCCATACGCTGACCTCCCATCAGGCCTTGCTGTGACTGAGGGATCAAAGCGGGCTGTTGATTTGCGTGCGGCATCGGCTGCTGACACATCATGGCTTGCTGTTGCTGCTGGAGCTTTGCCATCTGCATTCTGTGCTGAAGCTGCCTTTCTTGAATAAGCCTGGGGTCTGCGCTTTGGACTGGGGGGCCCTGGGGGAAAAATCCAGCTGGGGCACCAGAAGGACCCGGAACCCTTGGACCAGGTGGAAGCTGCTGCTGCTGCTGCCCCATAAAGGGCTGCCCTTGGGGCATCCGTAGGGGCATCATGCCAGGGCGCTGTCCCATTACTGTTGCCCCCTGCTGGCCAATCATCATCTGCCCAGGGATCTTTGGAAACATGGCGCCCCCTTGTGTGGGATGGCCTGGGTTAAGAAGACCCGAGCCCTGCTGCTGATGTTGCTGCTGTTTGCTTCTGTACTCAGCAATAAGGTTGGTGTGCTCCTTCTGCTGCTTGCGTACCTACAACAGATTATTTATGACATATTTATACACACTCCCAACAGTCTAGATGTCTGATGTGAAATCTAAAGGTTTAATAATTCTGCAAACCTGGTCCAACTGCTTCTGGATTTTGCTTTGCTCTTCAGTGACCAGCTTCAGTTTCTCAGCATCAGCCTCTGCGAACTCCCTGCCGGCTTTCTTCGCCGTGCGTTGCTTAGCGCAAAGGGCTTTGCGGGACTTTCGATGAACTCCGATCTGTTCCTCCAAAATCTTTAGCTGCATCTGGAGAAGTTGCTGGGTATGTAGAAGCCACTCCTCATACTGGTGCTGGTCTGCATCATCTGTTAGATACAAGGAAATGGCAATTCATCCTCAAGATAACTTCAAAATTCATAAAAACACATTTTTACAGGGAAAACATACTAATGATTCCTTGCGCAAATTGTGGAGGATTAGGTCTTGATTGAGCAGGATTTGCTTCTCCTTCCTGAGAAGAAAAAAAAAATCATTAATAAGGATCTGGATGCAGGTGGATTAAGTTTAAATATACATCTCTGGAAAAACACGTACCTTGGGTGGTCCAGGTGCAACCTGAGCAGGATCTGCGCCAGGTACCGAGACCAACCGCTGGGCAAGCAGAGAAACCTGTTGCCTAAAATAAAATAAAAAAAATAAGGTTGACCGGCTGTGTACATCACTGCTACCTCTGACCACAGGTGTCTTCAGAAAATAATACATAAAAAATAATACATAACTAATAATAAATAATACATAAAATAATAGAAAATAAGACATATTTAAAATAAAATCATTGAGAGGTATTTTAGTGTCCCTCAGCAATAACTTCCAATGGATGGTTCCAGATCCTCAGCATACAACAACAAAAGCATTTTAAAATCAGACTCAGAAAAGTGATGAAGAAGAACTGTTAATCAAAAAGAAATTTAAATCCACTAAAGTTGGAGCAGCTTCCATGTATTAAGTGACATTTCATAAAAACGTTTATTTAACAGAAGTACCTGTTGATCCCAGGAGGAGCAACCATTGTCGGATCTTGTGCCAACACTCTTTTAATCCCCTTCAGAGCCACCATCTTTGCTTTGGCAATAGGATCAATGATGTCATCAGGAGCAAATTTATCCAAATCTGCAACGACAGATTTCATGATCAACAAAAACACAAGGATCCACAAAGCGCAATCAATAACCTGCCATCTGCTTACCTTTATCTGGAAAGAAATTGTTTGCCATCGGTGATTGTTTAACAACCGGCTGTGGTTGATGAGCGAGGCCCGGGTGGATCCCCGGCTGCCCTGCCCTCATCAGGGCTTGCTGCTGAGCCATTGCCATGTGAGGCTGAGGCACCATGCCTGGTCCCATCATCCTCTGCTGTTGCTGCATCATGTGTGGAGCCCGTGGCACCATCCCCGACTGTCCCATCATGCCCTGGACCGGAGGACGTGGGTGATGTTGCAGAATCAGCTGGTCAGGTCCCTGGGGGTTAGGATGTTGACTGGGGAGACCAGGGAAATGAGGAGGGATGCCTCCCTGTTGAAGGGAACTCAACTGCTGCTGTTTCTGTTGCTCCTTCTTTTCATGCTCCAGTAGATCCTGTATGAGAAGAGGCAATTCGCCTTCTAAACGGCTCTCTACTTTTGCCAAATCTACCGCAGGTGAGTCCTGTCCCCCTACGTCAGGAAGCCCCAGTGGGTCATCACCCATGTCTCCATGTGGGGCGCCTGGAGAGAAAGGATCTCCCTGGCCAGACAGGGAGAACTGAAGTCTGCTGATCTGTAGGGAACTGAGTTGGTTTTCTTTTTGCTCCACCTTGACGGTTGATGTGCCCCCCCCTAAAAGCATCGACACAGCCTCTCTCATTTCATCTTTGACCACGGATTGTCCCGACTGCAGCTGAGGGGTCAGAACTTTGTCCTCTGCTTTGACTTTGGAGGGATCGGCATTTTCTGCAGCAGCTGGAAGTGAGGGAGCAGAATCCTTCTGAGAAACCGTCGCCGAAGACTTCTGTCCCGACTCATCTTTATTTTCAACTTTACAGTGAGCAGATCCAGCACCAGATGGAGTCTCGCTTTCTGCTTCTACTAGCCGCAGTTGGTCTGAGAAGACGTCTTTGGGATCACCCTGGTCCAGTTCAGGGTCGGTGTAAGCCAGGAGGTCAAACTCATCCCCGTTTAACAAGTCGTCCAGATGTGGATCGTTGGTCTCCAGGTTGTCCAGGTTACCCAAGTCGTCGTCTCCTTTATCTGGATCCAAGTCAAGAGCCAGATCGTTTTCATCATCCACACCACCATCCCCAGAAGCATCACCTAGACCCTCCAGGTCAGGCTCTGGCAGTTCCTCACAGGTCCCGACACCTGCTGCCTGGGGCTCCGTCACCAATCCTTGATGAGCAGCTCGATGCTGCTCAGCATTTTGTACATTCGGGTTGGAAGGTGCTTGAGGCTGTAAGCGGGGCTGTTGGGACACTGGTCCAGCAGACTGTGTGGGCATTAAACCCGGTACTGCCATGCCCTGCGGGAGCCCCAGCTGTGAGGTGCCACCTCCCTCTGCTTGAATACCTCCAGGTTGAGCTATGGGATGCTGCTGGAAGTAGGATCCAGCCATAACTGGCTGTTGAACAAAAAGACGTGGTCTCGGCTGCGGTCCTCTAGGCATAAACGGTGACCGTAGGGTCGCCCTTTGAGAGTTGTGCCTCAGTTCAATGAACTGGGGTGGGGGCCCTTGGCCCATCGCTTGCATGTTTTCCCCTCCATGTCCTGGCATCATGGTGTGGGGGCTTTCCACGCCTTGCATGTTAACTCCAGGGTTAAGGTTCTGTCTAATGCCCATCGCTTCAAGGCCCGGCTGAGGTAATCTTCTCGGACCTGGACCTTGAGGTTGCCACTGAGGAGGGAACGGTGGACGGCCAAACATACCATGAGGTCTGATGGGCCCTGGGAGCCTGAGAGAAAAACAACAACAACTCAATTTAGGGGAAATGAAAAAAAAAAGTTATAAAAAGATCTGAAACGGTAAAATGTGGGACTGAAATTAATCAGCTAATTGACAGTTTCTTTATGAATATGGATAAGGGGCTGATTGCTGTTTTGCCTTTTTAGATGAGAGATAAAAATTAAGAGCAAATAAAAAATAAGAAAAAAAAAACAAGTTATGGTTTTTAAAAATTCTCATCTATACAATAAAAATATAAAAAGCAGCACTTTGTGTAACAGGAATGTTTGTTTCAACTAATTTAATATTAACATTCACAGCTCTCTTCAGCCCACCTGTCAGATCAATACTCACCATTTGAAAGGTTACTTTTCAACTTCTCACAAATGTATACTCAATACCACTAACATTGCAGAGTACTCTACTTTCTAACAGTGCTTGCCTTATTCCACTTGTATCCATAACAGTAGCTGTCCCTGTAGGCGGTGGGCGAATAAGCTTATCTTCCATGCCTCCTCCGACCACAGGCATCTTCCCAGCCACAGAACCCTGAGCTTCAGTGGGAGCAGCAGCAGCAACACGGTCCTAAACAAAGCAGCAGTTAAATCAACCCAACATGTTCTTCTTTTATTCATTTGTACCATCAATTTTTACTTTTTAATAGGCCAACGTTTCATGTCATAACACTTTTTTTTTCAAACGAAAGCAATCAGTTCCCGTTTTTATCCCAGCATTTAACATAGTAACCGTCTGATAGTATCCAGCCTCACTGCTGCAGGTGTACCTGTGGATAAGGGGGCGGGGCTCTGAGGGTCTTGTCCTGTTGAAAAGCTCCCATTTCCCCCGCAGACCAGCCTGGGGATGCGTTTCCAGCAGCAGCTGCAGCAGCGGCGGCCTCCTTCTCTTGTTTGATTGTATTCTTCTGCCTCTGCTGCCTCATGATGAAGTCCCTTAGTTTTTGTCGCTGTTAAAGCAAAGTAAAAAGGAGACCAGCAGCAATGGTTAACAATAGAACAAAAGAAGTGCAACGTCTGAGCTTAAGGTCATCTAGATACCTGTTTGAATTTCTCCAGTTCAGATGGGCTAAGACCAACTAGTGAAGCTTCCTGTGCTGCGGAGATGTCGGGCATTTCTTGTGTGCTTTGTGCAGCCGGTGGATGAGGGAGCTCAGAAGACAGCTCTTGGGATTCAGAAGGAGGAGGCACCCTGGGACCCTGGTTGTCTGCCCCTTGACCCAACTGAGCCTGTGGCTGTTGAGGCTGACCTGCTACCACCTGACCCTGGTAAGATCCAGTGCTGGGACTGCGGCTAAAGGGGGGTTTACCACAGAGGGGATCCACTGCAGAACCACTGTTAGTGGGGCCTGGAGGGGTTTGGCTGGGATGGGGGGATGTTTTATAATTTCCAGTTCCATCTGAGGAATGAGAGGGAGGGCGAGGAGGTTTGTGGATAGCAGCAAAGGGGTCTCTGGACTGAGGTCGTGAAGGTGGCCTGGAAGAAGGATCAGGGGACTGGAAACGAGGAGTCGCTGGAGACTGGGCAGCGTAAGGATCGGAGGACATGCCCCCTGGAGTGTGGGGAGACTGGGCGCTACCCTGGGACTGGGGACTAGAGGGAACTCTGTGACCCTGCTCCTGCTGTGCAACAGCATGTCTCTGAGGTCCACAGTTGTCACCTAACTGTGGTCTGGGAGGAATCTGTGGGTGAGAATGAGGATCAGAGAAACTGTGGGAGGGAGACTGGCGGTAGCTCTCAGACGGGTGGTTAGGGGAAGCTCCAGGATGAGGTGGCCCGCTCTCTCCCTGATGCATTCGAGGTGTCATTGGTGCCTTGAATAAACCATCCCCAGCCTCCAGCATCCCAGATGGAGACCCAGAGGAAAGCTCCAGTCTTCCTGCAGAGGGACGTGGAGAAGGTGCACTGATGTCAGCCCTGTGCTGTCCTGTATTCACAGGTGAGGAAGCCACAGCAGACGGTGATGAGGATGAACCAAAATCTGGCCGTCCCATCCCTTGCTGGGCTCTGAAAGGGTCCCCATGCTGAGAATTGTGGAGTGGGGAGAAACACGGTGAATCTCCGAGGCCAGGACCTCTGGAATGGGGACTTCCAGAAGGTCCTAAGGCCTCCTGAGGTCCCTGATGTGAATGTAGAGGATGACCCTGTTGTTGTTGCTGTTGTTGTTGCTGCTGCTGCTGTAGCAGCTGCGATCTGAAGTAAGGGTCAACGTGTTGAGCCCGTCTAGGGGTTCCAGGAGTTCCTGGTTGCATGTCAAAAAGGCTGAGGCTGTCTGGCCGTCCCTGAGGAGGACCCTGTGGGCCGGAAGTGGGGTAACCTGAGGAAGAGGCCTGTAAAGGGCTGGTCACGCTGTGAGCAAAGGGTGTGCTTGTATGCGAGTGAGGAAGGGGTGACTGAGAAGGAAGTTTGGACAGAGGATCAGTCCGGCTCTCGGCTGATAGCGGGGTCTTCAGTGCGCCGTCCGAGAAAAATACAGAGGATGAACCCGAGTCAGGAGGAAAAGAAAAGGGGCTGTCTGCAGAGCTTGGATGGGAAGAAACGGACGCTGAGCCTGAGGGGGGAGGGATCTGGAGGTGGAGAGTCGGTCGCTCGCTTTTAGGATGCACCGCCTCAGTCTTGACAGGCCGACACACCTGACTCTCTGCCTGCTATAAGACAAAAAGAGGAAACGGCACCAACACAAGGTTAAAGAACGCATACACACCTCATCTTCATAAAAAGGGATAAAAGAGATGTTCCTCACCTTCTGTGCCTTGTTAATCCTCTGAGCTGCTCGGTTGTCTTTGGCCTTTTGCTACAATAGGATACAAGTACTCCAGTCATTTTCACAAATAGACTAAAACAGTAATAATCACATTCATTCTTAGTGTGTAGCGAGAAAAAAAAAGCTAAAAAGGATTTTCCTCCACTATTCTGACTTCATAATTCAACAGGTGCAAAATACCATCAATATATCATCATATATTTGGAAGGATTGTTTGCTATGAGCTCTATTAACATGTTAATATATTTAGCCAGTTGGTCCCAACAACAGATGATCACAAACAACTCCTAAAATGCTTAAGGTGACTCAGATGTGAACAAGAGCATCATAAACAATACTGCAAAATGATCTAATGACATGCAGGCAGGGGCTGTTTACTACACCTGCAGTGAAACATGTTGGTACTTGTGATGATTTTTGATCCAATGAAAAGATTTAAACTTTCTCCCACAAAGTTATAAACAATTTGCATAAGTAATTGTGTTTATCTTTGATTAAAGAACTAAATCTTTTGGTTGTTTCTAATGACCTAGTATTGTCATGGACTTTACCAGAAACTACGGGCTGCACAATTATCTAAATAATATTCTACCCCAGTACATATTCTGGAAGATATTGTTCATATTTGAGACAGACTCTTTTCTCCATCAGAATATCCTCATCAATGTCTGGTTCAGGATCTAAGCCACGCCAAGAACACATCTAGAGTGAGCCCAAACAGACTACATTACTGGCATGAAGGATTTGCATATAAGCTGTTCTTTTATTGCAGTATGGTTTAAAAGTGGCTGTTTCAGTGAATACAGAGGTGGGATATATCATGCAGAAAATAATTAATCTTTGAGACCAATATCTCACAGCTGACGGAGAGGAAATCTATGATTGGGAGCAAAAAAAAGAAAACTGGTCCCTTCCTACATTAAACGGAAATGTAATAATTATAACCAGCTTGTGCTTTTTTCATGTCCCATTCTGAATGAGGAGCTAAATAAAAAGTCACTTTTTTATTCTAGACGTAAAACATTTAGCATTATTTTCTATTCATCATTAAACCAAGGACCAGTGTCCTTAAAAAAAAAAAAATCTCTTTTTACTGGTTTGTACCCATCAGCACAAATAAGCCAATAGATAAAGGCAATGTATTATTTTTTTTCGAATAAATTCAGCCCACTTTACACCACAGTGAACTCACCAAGTATGGAACCTTGTCAGCAGCAGAAACCTTCCTCCAGATCTTCATAATCTGTTTACAGCGACTTGCCCAGTCTGAAAAAACACAAAACATTTAGCAGCTGCACCACAAAAAGGAACAAAGTCTCACTTTGAGATGGGGAGGTAAAAAGGGGCCTATCTGAAGCATTTCTCTTTTTGCTAACCTGGGTAGTCCTGTTTAAGCGAAGGGAAATTGGTGTTGGCATAAAGAACTGGTGAAATGGTTGAGTTCTCTCCCAGCTCCTCGTCTTTCTCCCAGCGCTGGAGGCTGCGCTGGTTGTAGGACAGCCCGTCACCTTCTGCTTCTGTGGGAGTGGGTGGGGAGGACGGTGTCACAGGGGTGGAGGGTGTGGCCCACGGGCTCTCCTCACCCCCTTCTGGACTGAACAGTCCTCTCTCTCTGCAATTGACAAAGAAAAATCAACTTATGGGTCAACGTAATGACATTTAATGAGTTAAACACACATAAATAAACTTTTGATAAATTGCTGTTTATGAATAATAGATAAATTAGTGTTGGTCATACCTCATGTCAAAGAAGGGAGACTGAGAGAGGCCAGGAAAAGCTTCCATCATTTCAGCAGAGGGAAGGGGCCCTTCAAGAGAAACCACCTTTTAAGTCTTAATCACTAACTTAGACATTACATTAAAGAAATAACAGCTATAATGTTGACAAAAAACCCCAACAATAACATCCTGGTTTTTCAAGCAGTCATCAGTTTGAGAACAGAAATAAAGCAGCGCTTTTATGAGGTTGGTTTTATTATTCTTTTGTTCTTAAAATCAGAAATGAATACAGAGTTTTGCTCCTGATCAAACATTTTGGGAAACACACCAAGCCCCATTATTATGCTGGTTTTGAATGCACTTAAAAATTTAACACATTTTTCTCAAATCTGTACAGAATATTTTCCCAGTTTGTCAATGTCTGATAACCTTCTGCTTACTTTCTAATATTTTTGATTTTCTAATAGTTTATGATTTACGTCATGCCTAAACCAGATCTATCGGATCTAAAGCTGATATAAGAGGTAAAATAAGGCCCCTTTGTTTTGTTAACATTAGTACTTAACTTGTAGTTCTTTGATTTATTAGCTTTACAAATTGACTGTTACTCGTATTTTTTTGTCTCTCAGATATGTCCTTAAGCATAAACCAAACATTTTTACAACCAAACATTTCAGTGCAGTGCAGGAACCCTGGTGAGTTTCTGCTCTAATCTATGGGCGGCCATTTTACCCACCTGAGGGAAGAGCTCTCTGTGCTACAGCACCGCGATTAGGTTCTCCCTTAGCACCCTCTAAGATGGGCTTCATCCCTCCTAAAGAGGAACCGTCTGAGACTCCCAGAACCTTCCTGAAGAACTGTTCAGAGTCCTGATTCTCCACTCCTTGTGGAAGACCTGTCAACCAAAGAAAATGCACAAAAAACATTAGGTTTTCAACATTAAAACCTTTCATTTTGTTAAGTATATAAATATATAAGCTTCTCTAATGTATTCTGGGACACATTGTACTTTACTTACCAATGTAAAATTAAATATCAGGGAAGGTTGTATTTCATCCCTACTGACCGCCAGAGCGCGGTGCAGAAAACACTGAATGTTCGCGTAATTATACCAACACACGTGACGCCAGATGACCACTCAGAAGCTACATAGCCTGATGTGTGATGCCCCTGTCTCTTACTGACTGGAGTCGTGGCTTTCTTTAATTGGTGACGGCTGCGCTTTTCGCCCCTTCTCCCAATATCAACCCATCTTTTGAAAACTTTTTCATTAGTCTGCTCTGTTGTAATTGGTGACAGCAGCGTTTTTTTTTTCCTACTCCCAACTTGAATTACCGAAGTTTGGATACAGCTAACGTTGTTAGCCTTTTTAGTTTATTGATTTTTATACCTGGTGACGGTGGGATTTTCATCCCCTCTACCAGTATCAGCCTCCCTCTGCTTGCAACCTCTTTCACTGCTCTGCTATAATTGGTGACGGCTGCGTTCGCGCCCCCTCTCCCGATTTTAGCCCATTTTTTGTTTGTTAATTGGGCACTGTCGACCTTTTACATGGATGGCTGCTGTGCAGGCAGAGAATGGCCACGACCTGTGCCCTACCTGCCTTGGACGTTAGAACCTTACCCCTGCATGAGTTTTAGGCCCCATTGCAGTGAGGGTGGCTCAGTTAGCCCAGTCATGCCCCCAGGAGGGCTCAAATCTTCTCATCCACTGGGTCAGGTCCTTTTACAAGGTTCTGCTGGGCCCTCTCAGTGAGGTATGAACTCAGGATTCCTTGTGACATCGTTGACTTTAGTCATTCAGTGCTTTCAGCACCGTCCTCTGGCGGTCAATAGGGATTAAATAGAATGAAAGTTACATATGCAACTAGGGTTCTATGGATCTCAGATGACCGCCAGAGTTTCTCTGTCACTCCGAATCCTTGCTTTTGCAAGAAGACTGTAGGAACAGAGGCCAAGAATGACACCAGGCTATGTAGCTTCTGAGTGGTCATCCGGGGTCACAGGTGTGACTCTGTTGGTACAATTACTCGAACTGCGCATGTCCAAAGGGAACATTCAGTGCTTTCAGCACCGCCCTCTGGCGGTCATCCGGGATTCATAGAACCCTAGTTACATACGTAACTTCCGTTTTAAGTCCTTATTCATTAACAGGGAACTTTTGAATGGAGATTCATGAAGAAAGCTTTCTAAGCATTTACTTAGACTGTAATAAATTAAAATGAATAGACCTGTTTAGTGTCATCTGTGACAAATTGGTAAAGTAACCTTTTAATTCTGTCTGCTTAATGCTCCTTTGTTTCTCTAAATGTTACTTCCTCTGACAGTACACTTTCAGACTGCCAAAACTAAACTCAGCAAAAATCAGTGATTAGAAGAGTGACCAGGGTTGACACTCCTCTGGTCAATGAAAAAGCAAGTGAACAAAAAGAACCGGCATTGGAGAAATTGTTTAACCTTTGGTGGAGTCTAGCCATGGGTCGGTTAGAGATTTACAGCTGTAACAGGGTATGAACAAGTCATTGTTCTAAACCTGCAGAAGTTTTATTGTTCCTGTTGTATGAGTATTTTTTTTATATATATATATATATATAAATCTCAACAGAGGAAGTTCTCAGGTTGTAAGCAGCTGCACCCCCACCCACACTCTGTAGAGGAAGTAGGGGAGCAGCCAAACTTTCCCCCCATCTTTCAGAGAGGACGTGACACATGTAAACTTTAAAGTCAGCCATATTGAAATACTTAAGCTACTGTGAGAAGATATCCCAAAGGATGAGGAACAAGGCCACCCCACAGCGGCAGCAAGAGGAAGCAACACAGCTAATTTGATAGAGCATCTGCAGCAGCATCACCCAGCCCTATTTGCCAACCTAAAGGTAAAGTTCTTCATGTCATGAACTGGCTGCCTTTAGCACCAAGCATTAGTGAAACAAATAGCACCATGTTACTGAGGAAGACAGCCTGATGTTTGTGCTGGTCACACCCATAAGTGAAAGGGGAAAGTACCCAAATCATTTGTAGCTGTACTTATTCTGCTGGCTCTCTGTGAGTGTAACCATTTAAAGGGGTTTAAAAACAACTTCCACTGAATTAAAGTTAACTATGATTATAAGTAAGAACATCTTTCACAGACATGGGAGGGTCACAAACTGATCTACAGAAAGTAGACAATAATACAATACAAATACAGACACCCTCCTATTGAAATAAACAAATATTTAAAAGTATATACCATAAACTGTATATTATGCTGAAGATCAACCAACAATTTAGCAAGCACTTCATTTTTTTCTTTATTTTATTTCAGAAATAAAGCCATAATCATAATACTGTGTGACCGTGGCATTTTGCTTGAGGTCATCATAAAGTCAGAATTCCAATTCCTCTTAACACCACTGGGCTCCTGCTTTGCACTTGGCAATAAAAATCACTCCTGAATTAACAGGCAGAGTAAATTAAAGTCCAGAAACACATTAATTAATTCAAACTAAGGTAATTACCTTCACTTTTTTCTGGCTCAGAGTCATGGGGATGAGTAGGCTGGTCCTTCACCAATGAGGAGGGAGCGGCAGTCCCTAAAGGTGTGAAATATTTGTAAGTATAATGAAGAGCTTTAAAACGATAGTGATATATACGTGTGGTTGCCTCAACATCCAGACAGTTTTACCTGTATTGTCTCCCTGAGCCTGGGGTGCTTCACCCGCCTCCCGCTTGAGAGGAAAATTTCCATCCAGCATCCGATCCTTGGCTTCAGCTGGAGAGAGAAGCACAGACATCAGCGGGAACCTTCCACACACCCAGTAATACACTGAAGATTGCTAGTATTAAGTGTTCCTACCCTCTGGGTTCGAGATTTTCACTCCTGCTGGTTTTTGCAACATAGGCTGGACAAGGCATGCACCTGGCCTCTGGCCTGGAGCCACCATCACAGCTTTCTTACTCAAGTCTATTAGTGTCTTCCCAAAGAAGGCCTCCTGCAAATCAGTGGATATCACACATGAACGTTAGATCGATTGATAATTAAGAGTTCTGATTTTTTAATAAAGGAGCAACAGTGAGTCTGTAAACCTGGAGATAAGCTGGAAACATGTCCTCCAATTTGCTCTTTTTTCTGCTCCGCCGTTTCTTGGCCTGTTCTTCCCCTTCCGCTGGTCTGGGATCCATGATGTTGTCGGTGTCCGGGTGAGGTCCTACATACATATACAGCACTCACTTTAACCCTGTTTACATCAAATGCTAAGAGCCAGCCAGCACTAGATGTCCTAAAAGGATGCTAGCATTTGGAAAAAAGTAGAGTTCATGCACAGATCATTTATTTTAAAGGATAAGTTTTGAATTTTAGAATCAATTCAGTGCCCGGCACTCAGTAATTCAAGTAAATTAAGACCCATGCCTTTATTTCAGTTTTTCATAACACTAATATGATTTGTTAGCTTTTTTTTAATAAATTGATAATAAAATCAAATATTACTGTTCAAATATAGTAGGGTGACAAAGATTTTGCATTCTTCTTACACAAAGAACATTTTGATTTCAAAACAATCATCAAAACATTTTTGTCTACAACATCCTTTTTTAACGTGTCATAACTCTACTGAACATTAAAGCCTTCAATGATATGCAAAATAAAAGTATGGGCAATCTGTTGAGTCCAACCTTCTTCAATAGTTCGCTCGATAGGCTGTCCATCTAATGTCGTCTCTCCAGCCAGCTGGGCAAAGAACTCCTTCTTTAAACGTGTGTGACATTTCCTTTGCCGCACCATGAAGCCCCCAATCCCTAAAAGAAATATATAAAAGATGAGGGCTGGGCAATAAAATTGTATTTGCAATACGGTTGCAATTTAACATAATGCAATTGTTAAATATCAGAAGCACCCAGCTTTGGTCACATTACATTTAACAAGAGTAAGACTGACTTTCTCACTCCAGCCCTTTAGGTGGCAATGTTGCGCTTAAAGTGGGTTTGCCATAAACCAGAAAGGAACGGAGAGTTGCAGTTAATGAGCAGTTTGAATTTTGGCAACAATCGTTCTGTTATTGTGAAAAAGGACTTGCAAAAAAGTCAGAAGGACCTAGACTCTTAACTTTTGTCACATTTTATCTTGCCGATGTATTTTATACTTTTGCTTCTGATAGACGAACTAAACAGACAGGTGGGGGTACTCAGGTAGGAGAAGAGTTTCAAAGAGAAAACCGTAAAAAGACCAAATGTTCTGCTCAGCTCAGATCTACATTGAGGCAGAACACCAACTCTGTAGCTCTGCTGAAACAAGGTAGTGGCAGCATCATGGTGCAAGGGGATGCTTTTCTTCCACATGGACAGAGGCCAGACCAATGGGGAAATTAGGGCTACATGATCCTGAATATGTAAAAAAAAAAAAAAAAAAACTGTAAAGCTAAAACTGGCTGAAGTCAGGAGTTAAAAGCGTCATATTAGCACTGTAATGCTAATACAAAATAAAGAAGGTAGAAGAAGGCAGGATGTAAAGAATGAATGCAGAAGAGAGAAACAGAATCAATTCAATAGCTTTTGAAATGTAGATTATAAAACAGAAATTACCGATCAAAAAATAACTACCATGTGTCATTTTTTCCTTCACAATCATCTAAATTTCAAATAATTCCATATAAAAAAAAAAAAAAAGGTTTTCTCATTGTAGCATGACAAAATATATTTTTTTCAGGTCTAGTAACTGATAAGAGTAATGTAGCTCTACCTGGTCTGTAGGGCTTCCGCTTCCTCTTCTTACTGTCCTCTGTCTCGTCTGCTCCGCCTTTGAGACCCTCACAGTCCCCCATGCCTTCAGCACCAGCATCCCTGTCTCCACCTTCTCTGTCAGGACTACCAGGAGGCTCCATTTTTGAGTCACAATCCATTGGCTCCCCGCAACCTAATATTTAGAAGTAATATTTAAAGAACAAATTGGTGCTGACGATTGTACAATAACCTTCATGGTGTGACACTGGGCTAAACTTTTCCATCCTTACCATCTCCTTCAACCTCCCTCATATCCATCCCATCTGGCCCTCCATCGCAGCACAGGGTGCCAAGACGAGAGCGACGCTGCCGCCTCTTGTGCAAAGGAGACATGGAGATGCTCCGGAGCAGGGACATACCGCACTCCGTCAGCCACACTCCCTCCAGTCGGTAGAACTGAGGTTCTGTAAATAACAAATTCAAATTAGTCATGCAGAACCCACCGCAAAAAAAATGAGAAACTAGTAGATGGTAAGGTGCATTTCAATGAATAAGAATATAATGAAAGGTTCATTGCAGTAATTGAAATACAATATATAGATTTATTAGAAACAAAAAAAATCTTCTTTTCTAGCTGGGCTTTACAGCTAATGGAAACCTATTGTTCCAAGAAGAGTCAAATTATTTTTAATAATAACAACAATCATACATTTTTTTTTTAATTATTCCAACAAGATCTGGTGTCTGCATCTAACCCGACCCTTAGGGATAAGCGGGATGCTGCTGTGTAGCATCCAGGGTGAATTCTGGATCGGTGCTAAACTAAACATTTAAAAACAGAAATGCCATCTGACTGCGGGTAGGTCCATATACAGCATGTTGCATGTACCCATCATTTAGCGGGGGCTCCTTATGCATAATTTACTGCTTGAATTCAGCACATCATGGAGGTTATCAGTCTGTCGGGCTGATGAAGCCCAGGTTGCTTTAATCCAGAATAACAAAGTTGCTGAATTTGGGTGCCATCAATCGTCCAACGTTAAACTTTATTTCCCATGGTCAGCTCCTGTTGCTTCCCAGCATCATCAGGCAGGGGCGGCTTCTATCTGCTGCTTGTCTGTTTAAACTCATGGATGCAGCCCTGGGTTTGACTGAGCGAGTCACTGTGATCTATTCTTTAATGAAAGCCCAACAATGGTACTGTCGTCCCTCGATCCACCACATCCTCCAGAGATCTTTTAGGGTCTTCCTTCATCCTATATTAACATTTTTCTTTCTCCAATTTTGATTGAAAAAAGGTTTGTCTCCACCTCTCTCCTTTACCCTGATTGGTTGTATTGGCAGGACACAAAGGTTCACACTTTCTAACTCCATCGACCGTCATTTCTCATCAATCATAGGAGCGGCCTTGTATTTTATCACAATCATCATACCCGACGCATGGATAGAAATGCGTCCATCGCAGCAAAGCACATCTAATCGCACCTCATCATAAGGATAACATGTAAATCAAATGCTTCTGGAATCGCTCTAGCTTTGAATGCACCTTTATGCACCATTGGTTCTGCGGTCTCTCGTCTTCCTCACAGCAACACTCCATAGATTCTGTGCTAAAAAAACTGACCTAGGCTGAAGCGCACTGATACAATCGGCAATAAAGGAGGTACTGGTCATTTCTGGCAGTTCGACAATGTGCCAAGTTGTGCTGCAAAAGTGAAATCTCTGCACCAAATTAAGCTGCAGACAAGCTTGTAGCTCTGGAGAGTTACTTTACAGTCATTTAAAGACAGCAGTTATCCCTGTTGATTGGGAACATTTTTTTCCTACAATTTCTCCCCTCTAATCAATTTTAAATTAACATTGTTGCACACAGCCAGCCTCCTTAGAAAGTCTTTTTGTGGGTTAACCTCCTTATGTAGGACCTGATTACTTTTTAGAACATAATGCAACTTCTATAGCTTGTGTCCTTTTAGGTTACTATAGTTTGAAGAGATAAGCTAAAAATTTAAAAATGAAATATTTACTCTGTGTTTCTACAAAAAAAAAAAAAAAAAAAAACATAAAAAAGAATTATATTACTAGGATAAATTCACCTTTCATTATTCTAATTAATTGGAATGCACCTGTAGGTAATAAACCCACTGACCTGGCTCTTTCATCTTTAAAGAAGCCATAATAGTCGACTCTACTAGAAACAACAGGAGGAATAAGAAGAAAGCAAAAGTAAATCATGACATCAGAACATTGAGAAAAAAATCTTAAAGTCATAAACTTTGCTTTCAGTTTGTCGGCTGAGTCATTCTGCGACTCACCCACAGGTTTTGGAACATATGGCGTGCAGGATGTGCATGCAAAGCCCTCGTCAGAAGCTTGCTCCACCTCATCCTCTGTGTAAAGGCTCTCACAAACAGCATGGACCCATCTGCAGAGGCACACATGAAAACAAGGCGACACGCGCTTCTTAATAAATGCCAACAAATCTAAGATGTTATAGAATAATTTATGATGAGGGAACTCCATAAATAATCCATTCCCCGCTTGTTGTCATTAGCTGCAGCTCTGTGAATTCCTAAGTTAGTCTCTGCCTGTGTAGCTCCATGAAACCCAGCACGCACCGGTCGCAGTATTGACACTGCAGCAGAAGCTCCTCTTCCATGAAGTTTTCTCTGCATACCGGACAGGTGACGAGGCTGGCACAAGGCCCGCAGTGTGTGTAGTTGTTCTGCCACTCGCAGTGGAAACCTGGAGAGCTGGAACCACACTGGACACAGCAAACACACCTGCACAGAAGAAGGAGAAGGATATTCTTCCATCAGTCCAGCTAAAGAGCATGATTATTAGAAAAATGTTAAAATAAAAGTCAGAGCTGAATTCTTTTGTTATTGCCACTAGATAACTAGAGAAAGGAGACTTTGAACTGCTTCTGCAGAGCTGAGATACTGTGTTTCAGTGTTTTACATAATATGCAAATTTGCATGTTCTCATTTCCATTTGACCTAGTTCAAATAAACAGGCCTGAAAAAAGGCTACTGCACACCAGGTCGCTTTGCTTTTTTTTACCATTTGCACTTCCAACCTCCCTTCGGCACAGTGTGCAGCGGAGGGTCCAAGCAGTAGGTATGATAGCTGACGTCGCAGTCGTCACAGAGCAGCAGGCGCGACGGGTCCGAGGCTTTTCCACACACCTCACACACGATGCACTCCAAACACCGCCAGCCCTTTCGGAGCTTTGTCTTGGTGATCTGAAGGAGATATAGGATTCAATCTCTGTTTTAGCTAAATAAATATTAGAGGTGAAAAAAAAGCAGCGCCTACTTTGCTGTTTACGCAGAAAGGGTGGTAACACTGCGCACACTGAGCGCAAGCTAGCAACTGTCCCTCCATTCCTTTTCCAAAACTGCCACAAACGACACACATGTCCTGAAACAGACCAGAGCACAGAGAGTAAGATAAAGATGTGCAGCGTGAGAGGTAATGGGGACATACCTTAGCAAATGAAAATAAACGGTGTACCTGGAGCAGGACAAATTTGTCCGTGTTGGAGAAGAGGACTACGGTGTTCTGCATGGTGTCGTCTTCCTCTTCGTCGTCCTCCTTACTCAGTCCAGTGTCTGAGGTCATGCTTAGCTGAGAGGCGGGAAACCAAACATGTGGAACATGCTTTAATATGTAAAAAAAACTAACAAGCACTTAGTTTTTAATCACTGACTTGGTTATTTAAGTTAAGTTTTTACAGAAAAATAACACAAAATGCACAGTTTCCATTTTTGTGTTTTCCATTTGAAATATCCATAATTTTCCAGACTTCAAGGTCCATTTTTATTTGTCTCAATTCTTTTTATGTAATTAAATCTATTATCTATCCTTCTATTCATCCATCAATCTCTCAATAAAACAAATACTTTTCAATGACGAAGTCTTTTTCACAGCTAATCCTAAGCCTTAATAATAAAAGGAAGAAACTTTTTTTAAATGAAAGGTCTAAATGCTGTAGCTCTCCAGACTAAAGTCCGATCTAAACTAACAGATGTTTAGCAAAACCACAATCATTATCTAGATGCGTAAAGGGGTTTTCTCACTTTGTCCCACCTATGTTCAGATAAAAACTCAAAACAGAAATAATAGCAGAAATTAATTGCAAAATCTGATGTCGCTAATTTAGATTCACCTGCTTTAGTGACAGAGGTGTACTCCGGTTAATTGGATTATAAAGATTTTTGTAAGATAGATTAACATAAATTAACATAACATAGATTTCAAAGTCAAAGTTGTAATTTTCTGCCTAAATGTTTTTACAGTTATTGTGTTTTAAAAACATTGAAAACTATTTCTTTAAGCGCTGGACAGAAGTAGAAGTGGTCTGTATACATGCCAGCTTTTTTTTTTTTTTTTTTTTCAGTTTTGTAATGGGAAATCCAAAAATGGGACCTTTTCCTGATTGCCATATAAAATACATATATATAAAACCAAAAACAAGCCCATTTTTATTGTTCTGAAATCTCAAATTGGAAAACAAAAACTAGACCTATTCTCCATTCTTTTTTTTAATTCTAAATACACGGACCAGTAATTTGACCAGGCTTAACCAGACTGATATCAGATTTCTGAGCTGCCATCCTAATTTTAAACAATTTAGATTTTCTTTTTTACTAACGACTATAATATAAGTCTTAGAAGAGCGAAAAAAGTACCCATGTTGAACTGACTGATTCCTTTCTAGTTTTTAGTCAATTTGTTATATTTCATAACAGTCCACCAGCTCAGTAATCATACCCATCATCAAATTAAATGAGGTGCTTGAAGAAATCCTAAAAATGTATACAAAGTTCAGTTAGCCTACTTGCAATTTAAGATTTGTATGCCAGTTTAGTCCTGTAACTTAATCAAAGCTTTACTAAAGAGAAGTACATATAAATGGAAATAAACCACCATACAACAATATATTGGTTTTGATACCGATATGAAACCTCTAACATCTATTGCAACACAACTGATGCAGAATTAACTAAACATGAGGTTTATATAAAAACAACATCAGAAACATTTGTTTTATGTAACCAATATGAAGGGTCACTCTGGTTGTTTAAGAAATGTGAATTCAGAAATGTTTATCTTTAAGGAAATAAGATTTTAGAGAAGTGGAGAAACATTCTTTAGTAGTTTCGGACCTTTCTTCACTTTGCAGGAACTGTGTAGAGGGCATTGTAAAGCTCACCAAGAAAGCATCGATGCAGGAAGCCATGGCTTTGAGACGGGACCTCCCACCACGCCCTCTTCCTCCGCCTCCACCTCGAGGTCTCCGCTTACCAGGAAAGCTACTGCTTCGCCCCTACAAGTAAAAAAAAAAAAAAAAAAGGAAAAGGTGTGTTGTCATAAAGGCACCTTAATTCCACAAGAAAAGAAACTGAGACCAATGTGAAGAGGGCCTCACCTGTTTGACCCGAGAGCGGCCTGGGGACCCTCTACGTTTCGCCTTCTCTCTGTCGCTCCGAAGGGCTTCGAAAGGAAGCGAGTCATCAGTCTCTGTAAGGTTATCACCATGGGAGCGGCGAGCGGGAACCAGTCCGAGCTCCATGGACAGCTGAGGATCTGGTTCTCCAGGAGAGCCCAGGAAGCCACTGCTGCTGGACATCTCATCCAGCAGCAGCTCTGGCTTTGTCCCTTGCAGCTCCTGCTTTATGTCCAGATGATGTCCTTTCATTTGCTCGTCCTCCTCTTCTTCATCTTCCTCCTCAGACTGAGGAAGCAACCTTGTTTCTATGTCCATGGCAGAAAGCGTCTCTTGTGTGTCTGTTGATAGGGAGATGGTGGAAGGAGACTGGGGATCTTGGAATACACTTCTCTCTGGTTTATCATCCATAGATGACAGCTCAGGTTTTTCTGCTGGTTTCTGATTTTCCTTTCCAAAGGACTCCGTAACGCAGCCGCTGTTTAGCAACGCCTTGTTTTCAGGGAGCATAGACTCTTGCATTTCTTTTACGTTCCCCAACTCCATGTTTTCAGCTGTAGGATCTGCTGCAGGGTTCATGTTATTCTGAGTTTCTGCTGTGAAGACCTGGGAGGGGGGGCTTTGTGTCTTCAAAACGAATGCTTCTTCTGATTTCCTTTCACCAGCAGAAAGAAAAGAGTCTCCTTGTGTTGTGGGACGCACTAGAGTATAGAATGAAAACATGGGATGACTGGTTTCATAAATCTATTGCATTTTCATAGAAATCTAAGACAAAAAAAATCAAATAATACCCCTTTCCCACGGGCCAAAAACTCTTGTTTAAACCCAGGAAAGGGTAGCATCATCAACGCTAACCCAGAGAGATTGTGTCACCAGACAAGCAGTGGCACGGGGGCAGAGGCCATGCAGCGGGGGGTTAGACCCAGCTTTTTTCCCTCAAAGGGAGGGGAGTGCTGGGGAATGCTGATTATTAACGGGTCGACCCATGCTTGAAAATCGTGCACTAACCCGCTTTTTTCAGTGGGAAAGACGCTTAAGATATATCACTTATTCTGATTTATTGAGATGGACCTATATTATTTTTATTTAGAGAACAAAACAAACTCTAATTTTTCATAATTGAAATATTTCAGCATTTATAACTCACCAGTAGACTCCTCGGAGATGGATCCTTCTGCTGCTAGCTGCGACTCTGGCATCATTTCACTCCCCTTAACGGCTGTAGAGTGAACTACTGCAGACTCTGCATCTAAACCAAATAAAGATAAGCTTGATAAAAAAGCGGAATCTTAAGCTTAGCTTTTTTTTTTTTTTCAATCAAATCCTGACATACCTGAACCCATGGGAGTCTCTTTCTGATGTCCATCTTTCCCCGTATCCATTTCAGATGCACCAATCTCTCCAGGAGTCCCGTCTGATGCCTCCGTCGGTTTTTCTGCAACCGTGTTAGTTTCTGCTTGGATCGCCATCTCCTCTGTCAACTGCATTCCCTCCAAGCAGGGCTGACCAGCAGGATGCTGCTGATCCTCCTTACAAAGAAGGCAGATATCCTTGGCTTCTGAGATCTCCCCCAATGCAGCACACTCACTATGCATCCATCTAAAAGAATACAGAGAAAGCAAAAACATTGCATTAACAGGGATTAACATTAAAAGATGCATTGGTTGATGGAAAAAAGACTGAAATGAACCAAGTGACTCTTAATTAGCAACTTAAGTATTAAATCAATTTTTCTTCCTTTTTTTCCTTTAAATGCATCAAAACTATGAACTTTCTGAATGCTCTATAAAAGGTAACAATCATTAGCTAGCATGTACTTTTATACACTTTTAATGAGTTAAATAACAGCAGATAAAGTTTAAAGACAAGTTTTAATGCAAAAGAAGACATTAGTACAAAAACAGTTTGAAAAAAAAAAAAACTTGCAGCATGTTTTTATTTTGCATTAAATTCTCTGGAGAATAACTTGATATATCTGGATAGAAACTGACTTTAAAGGAAACTGAACATCGGTCAGGAGAGGCCTAATTAGTGCATCTCTAATAAATACAATAATACGATCTTTCATATGTGGAACTGACCTGCGGCAGATGCCACAACACTGAAGCCCGACAGATGGGTTAGCAGCTTTGCTGCAAACACAACACACTGAGCTGCGATGTTGCTGGCACTCTTCGCACATGTTGTAGTTTTCGAACCACTGGGCCGAACCTGGCAGCATCAACCCACGGACACCACACTCCATACACACACGGCATCTCTGTAAAAGGATTACATGATGACAGTGATCATTGCTTTAAAACAGAACATTGTATAATTCGGGTAACAACTGCGATCAGATTTTACTGTTAAGTGCAGCATGTCTTCTCTAACAAATCTACCCCATTTTAGTCTTCCAGAAGTAGATATTCATTCTTACAAAATTCCCTTTTAAAGGGCGTTTAGAAACTTTGCAATTTTAGAGTTGCTTTTGCTTACTTTCTAAACTGACTGCACAAGTAGGGATCAGTTGTGCTTCCTGCTGAGAAACAGTTTTACTTAGGTTGACAGATAAGGTTTTTTTTTCCTCCAGCAAAAGGTGATACAAAGTTTACAATGGTGTTTGTATAAATAAAAAACAAATAAAAAAAAAAAGGGACTAACTCTGCATTTCCAAGGGTCAGAAGGGAGAGAATCCATAGCTGGTTGGAGACAGAAGGTATGATATCCCTTATCGCAGGCATCACACACCAACATTTTGGAGTCTTCTCCTGGTTGTCTAGAAGAAAAATAAACACAATTTTTTTTTCATTAATTAAATACAATTTCTTAAGAATAATGACATCATTCCAAACATAAAAAGATAAGGGTCCAGATCTTGAGAATGCATGCATTTTGTTTGTAGGTTGTACTTACCTGCAAGTCTGGCACACTTTACACTCTGGACATTGCCATCCGGCCCGCTGAATGGGCGTGGCACCAATTTCCAGACAGGATGCATGGTAATGGAGACCACAACCCGTACAGAAAAGTAGTTCTGTGAGCTCCCCAACCGAATCACACACTGCACACCAAGCCTCCTCCCCAGCTGCAGACAAAATATAGAAAAAACGGGGATCCCAAAAGGAGAATCAAAACCATAGTATTATCAATGTTTTTGTTTCCTGATAAAAACTGGGTTGAATGATGCCCCATAAAAACCCAATGTACATAGATGGAATGAAGTAAAAACTAAAGAAAACATTACTTGATTAAACGGACCATGGGCTCAAACTAAGGAAGAGGAAACGCATGATTATCCGTTTACTATGGTAGAGACTGAAACTAATATGGCATTTATAAAAACCTAGATACAAAATTATAGTCAGATCTGTAAACGCATTTTTTTTGTCCAAAGTAAAATAAAGGAATTAAGTAAGACTCCTAAAAGGTGAAGCAATATTCAAGCAGCTCTCAACAACAAACGCAGTGAGCTTTTATGACACTGATAAAAAAAAGAATGATGTTCACTTTGAATATTTAATTTCCATTCAGATTAATAAAGTATTTGAGTTTAAAATAATTTCTCATCGCAGGTCTCATAACTTGGAAATCAGACAAAAACTTTTTTTTAAAGTGTCATGGCAAACAAACCCCTTTTTTTTTTTTAAGAACTTTCAAAAGACACTAAGGTTTTACATCTAGGATAAATCCCATTTAAATCCAGCTGCAGTGGTTCAAAAGCCAAGATACTGTGATCTTTTATTTTCATGAAGTTAAATTAAAAGTAAGGTTTACCTTACGAATCTAAGATTTTGTAATGAATACACCTTGAACATCTGAATGTTAAAAAATATCTTATTCTTATCAATTTCAATATCAATTTCTTAGTGATTAGAATAAATGCCAGTTAGTAGATCTGTAACTGTTTTCTTATGCGACCATAAGGAAACGTTTGTTACTATAAACAGTTTATTTTCTACCGTGTCAGAGAACATTCTGGATTTAATTAGGAGGTCATCAACTTTTTTTCTTCTGTTGTTGTTTTTTTTAAGTTAAAGCTTTGTAAAATCCTCAAATTAAGCTATAAATTGTTCCATTTAATATTACATTTTTAATCTGCCATGTGCTTCTCGAGCTCAGATATCAAACAGCTGATCGTAACATACCTACTTATACTAAAAACTATAAGGACATCAGGATTATGGTAAATGTACTAATGATTCTCTTACCCAACTCCTCAGCTTTGTCTATATGCTCCGGACAGAGGAGGACCAACTGCTTCATGGACTGGAAGGATCCACTGGCCGCAGAGCACGGGAAGTGGTAAAATCGCGAACAGCCCTCTACATGGCATTGTATGCTTGCACCCAGTCTTTTGCAATATTCACAAAGCTGAAACGAACCAATTGTAGAAAGCAGAAGTAAATTTCCTGAAGAAACTGCTTATTTAATATTGCTGTTGCGTTATAATATCCAGATCAAGTCATTGGAAAGTAAATGTACCCGTTGAGTCCCTGAGATAACAGCTTTATCCACATCCTCCAGCTCCTCGTCTTCTGTCTGCTTCACCCCGTCTGACCACACCGCACACCAGTGGTGAACCCAACAGCCCCCTGTTTATAACAAGGATAAACAGAGATCATATCACAGATGTCAATAAATGTATTTGCATTATTTAGTTAATAGAAAAAATCTGAAACACAAAAACATGATGTAGAAATTATTTTGTAACACATTTTGATATTGACCTGAGTCATCAAAGAGTGCTGTCAGACAAGAAGAGTCAGAAAAACCAATGGAAGACAGATCATCATTTCCAGGCTGTGGCAGTGGGAAAGCTGATGGCTTATTAGTAGGTCGCTCCGACGACGACCTGAAGTGTCGCAGTTCCCGCTGTCCAAGCAAGCTCCGATCAACACAATTACAGAGGGCACAGGCACGAATGCATTCTCTGTTCAAACACGAATGACAAAAATAAGTCAAAACGTGAATAAAAAAAGGGGAGAATCATCATTAAAGCAAATGCATTTAACTTTACTGAGGCAATTTGGGAACTTACACAGGTGTACTGGAAGAGGCTGTATTAGAACCAGATTTGTCTGCAGCTGCAGGGGAGACTCTAGGCGACCCTTGGAGGGAGATGGACTGGTGTGCTGAGGCGCTATCATCAGCTGGCAAACAAAAACATAAATAAACAAACCATTGAAGAAAAAGGAAAAAAAAAAAAGGTTTTGACGATCCCCGAAACTTTTATTTCCAGTGCAATGTCAATATTAAGTTAGATATCTAGTTTCACTCACACACACTAAAAAAACATTATTGATCAGCAGGTCAAACACACACAAAACAATGTGTTTTCTTTCTATTCTTTCAATGCATCTAACTAAAGAAGTCCACATCGCTTTTATTATATAAAGATATCAACCACCTGCAACAAGTGACTTTTCTGTTTTTTTTATTCATACAATTGTTCGGACCCGTTTTGATGCATTGACAAACAAAACTATTAATGGAATTCCATTTCATTTTCCATTTGATGCGAAGCCTGCGCATGTGTTTGAGAGCATGACATGCAGTTTACTCTTATTTGTTTTAATTAGAAGGAAAAGGGAATTGATAGAAAGAAAGCATCATCTGACTTGCTGTAAAACAAAAAAGTAAAAAAAAAAAAGTGTAACCTTTACCTGTTGGTTCAGAGTCATTCTCTTCGCAGTTCGATTTCTGCTCATCCATTCCACATACGAGGCTTGACCTTATCAGAGATCTACGAATATATAAAAATGTAGATCAAACTTAGAAGACTGATTAGTAATTCAGATTAGGTCTGTTATCACCATTATTTGACTGTCAAAAATGTTACCACATAACACTAAAGGTGAAGTGATCCTAACATCTAAAACAACACAAGGCATTAAATACAAAAAAATGTAAATAACTGTAAAAAATAGCATAAAAATAAACAACATAACATAAACAGTCCACCTATCTACGCACAAAGTGCTTTTAACACAAGGAAAGCGAATCAACAAGACCAGCTTAATAATACAGTCACATCTGGACTTTCAATTGAGTTCCTACCGTTCATTTTCATGTTTTATCATTAATGTAACCGAGATTTAACACCAACTCATGAAAATACCGCGAAGGTTACGTGTGGAGCGATCAATCAGAAATAGCTTTAAGGACACAACTTATTTACCATACAATGCATAATCCGCGTCGATAATCTACCTGTGGGCAAAAAGCGCCCAATCTAACAACTAAACTGTGTTTTATCAAATTTAAGAACCACAAAACGGGATACACAAAGAAAATACAATTTCCTTATATAGAGCTTCCTGTTGCAGCGGAGCTCTTTTCGTGTAGAACCGAGTCACCGAAGAAAAGTTCCGCCTTGGGATGGAAGCGCTCGACAAAACGCCATAAAAAAAAATACAAAAAAAGCGAAGGATATTCGGTTTTATCCGCCTAAGAAATCAGAAATAAGAGAACTGAATTGGGCTTTCCTAATCTAAAACTCTTGTTAATGAGTTTTCTAAAGCCCTGAACCAAGTCGGTGTAGTGTGTTTTTTTTTTTTTACGAATTACAAAACATTCATTGTGACATTAGCTTTGAGTACATGCATTTCCCCATGTTTCCTGTTTATCATAAAATAAGGAAAATTCACCAGTGAATATTAACAGCCATCTTGTTCTGTTTCTGCTTTATTTTGTTCTTTCATCTTTAGGGAGTTTGAAAGAAAAAATAAACAAAAAAGATCACAATTAAATTAAAACTTATACTTAAAGCGAAAAAAATAACAGAATTAACAGCGAATACGAGGTGAAGATTTGATCAGATCGATTTAAAAGGGATCCTGCATACATCACTAACATGTCTTCATTTCATGGAGGAAATATGAATAGAGGGGGAAGTGATGTGTGGGGTCAAAATATTGTAGTGTGGCGAGGAAAGATATGCTTCTGTAAAAAGAACACTTTTAATGAAAAAAAGAAAGTATTTCTAAGTGGTGTTTTTTAATGTAAAACAAATACAAGACCAACAATTGTATCGAAATGAGTGTAAAGCAGCAGAGCTAATGTACTCTAAATCTTTCGCAGCAGTTAACATCGCATCCCTGTTATTAAACGGAGCCAGAAACACTCGAAACGCACCGGGAAACAAAACAGAAATGTCAAAATCCGGTGCACTGACCCTTTAGGTATTTTAAAACTGCACCTTAACTATGACAAATCATACACTTTGATTTAAAGTAAAACGGAGTTGATAGAAGCAAAAGTAACAACACGATGTCAAAGTCTTCATAATATCATTTCTATCACACAACTAACTACGAATGTTACTAATTCTGGATATGTACTGTTAATAATCAGAAAGTGATGTATGTCGCTGCACTAAAGTGAACGGTATAAAGCTGAACAACAGCAAATAAAAGCACTTTCTCAATGTAAACACCGACTTCAAAGGGTTGGTTCTAACCAGCAATTAGACGCATCCGCAGCAGTGTCGAGAATTCTACAAAGCTAACATTTAACTATTGTGGCGCAGCGGCAAACTTTCCCGGAGAAATCCCATGTGTTGAAACTAGAATACCCTCAAGAAGGTGCAGTTTAAGAATGTTGGGTCGATTATATGTGGATCTCAACGTGAATACAAACAGTCTAAAAAAGCCAAAAGAGAGAGCACATAGCTAGCTTTCCAGTAATTAGATAGATTCATATGGCAGCTAAATGCTACAGGCAGCGTCGCTAACACCGGTCTAAGGTCAGGGTTAGTGTGCTTAGATGTGTTTGTTGCAAGAAAATAAAGCATGCAACACCAGCTTCAACCTACCTTAGAATATGAACGTCCTCTTCTTATGCATCAGCGAGATCTAAAGAGTCTCAAAGCTTCCAGAAATGCTGATGCTCGCTTCATTTTATGTACCCGGACTAACGCTGCGGCTAGCCCCGGCTGCTCTGAGAGTGGGGGAAGTGCAAGTCGGTGGAAGGCAATACAGTCAGCAGGCAGGCTTTGCTAGCTGTTTAACTACAGTGGTAATAGAGTGGTTACCCAGCTAACCAGCGGCCAGTCAATTCGGACAACTTTTGTACTCTTCGGCCACTCCAGACAAATGTTTTCTGACTCCACGCAGCGATGGTGGACGTTGGTTGAGGGCTAACATTAGCAAGCTTCACTTATGTTCTGGAATCTCACTCGAAGAGAGGTCGTACGTTGCAGAAACTTTGCATAAATTTTCTATATCCGGGGAAAGTGCTGGGCTGAACTTTGATGACCCGCCAGAAAACTAAGGTTTTCCTTTAGGTTTTTTTTTGGTGCAGACTTTTATCCAACTAAATTTACAGAACAACTTTGCGTATTGGGTCACTAGCATCTTTTTTTTTTCCTCCCTTCCCCTCGCTGAAACTGCGTCGCGTCTCCTAACGGCTGTTCCGCTGAGGCGGCTAGCCGATGCTAGCTGTGCTAGGTTATAAACAACTACGTCAAAAATGATTTCGTCCAAACAAACCGCTCGTAAATAATCATGTTTTCGACAGATCGTAACAGAAACTCCGTTGCGACTTGATGGTGATGATTAAGAAATAAATCCTGGTCGATCATTTAGCATATCGGAGAACTGGGCCAACTGAAATATGGTGGATAATAGATATTAGGTCATTAGATTTTCTACTCGGGAAGCCATTTTTCATTAGACTGTTATGATTGTAACAGCAAAGCTACGTGGACTTCCCTGTCGTTAAGCAGCTTGCTTGGGTAAAAAAAATAAGAAAAATACGATCTAAACTGTTTAAGAGTTATTGTCTATTCCTTTGTTATGCAAATTTAACTTTTTTTGTGAAGTGATTATGTCATCTGTGTGTTCTCCTTTTTATAATGTCGATTTTTGGTTCTCTTTTTACTTGCTATGGTCTGAAAGAACTAGATTTTTAAAGTTAGATTCTGATCAAAATACTCTGGAAAACTCCCCTAAGTAAAAAAATGTTGCTGCTAATATCTATTCTTGCAATCAATTAAGTAATCAGATTATTCACACACATGCTTTTAACTCGTTGCAGCTCTGTTTACAGTCTTCTATTATTTGTAAAAATGATCAGAGTACTCCAAAGCACCACATGAGTTACTCTCAAGTCCTTATCTAAAACAAAAAAACTCACCAGTGAGAAGTATTTAAAAAAATAATTTTACTGTTGGTTTTATTTTTCAATCACACTTTATACAGATTTGTAAATGTGAATATGTAAAAGAAACAGCAAATTATACAAGAAATTTAGGTGAGCATTGGTTGTTCCAGTTTATCCGTATTACTTAAAAAATGTTAGTGAGCTCTGATCTGGTGTTAGTAAAAGCAATACAATTCACTAGTATGCCATTTATTAACTCTTAAAAGTCTCCTTCTGGTTCCACAACAAGATGCAAAAATAAAGTACAGTGCAAGAACAACAACAGATGAATACAACATTTCTTCATTTATTCAAGATTTCTTTGTCACCCAGCCACTGCAGGAGGGTGAAATGTCAGTTTTGGTGCAGGCCATCCAAGAAAAGACAAAATACACAGACAATATAGAGACACGGGGTGTCCCAGGCATGGCAGCCATAAATAGGCGCTGCCCCTTTATAGTAGGAAAAATGCAAAGAAAGGGATCACAATAGGTTTTGGGAGGAAAAATATTTATATATTTTATAATTTATCCTTAACAGGATACAGTTTGAGATTGCAAAAAAATAAATAAAAAGCCCAAACACATAGCAAAAGCCAAGACAGGTAACATGTTCAAATACTGTATCTGTATTTAAATAACAAAATATTTATAAATTCAATTTTACAAATAAAATAAAATCAAGTGAGAACATATCAGGTGTGTTCTTAAATAATGGAAATAAAAAGTTCCCTGGAACCAGGTAAAAAAAAAGACTAATGAAATGCGAAGAATAATTTCCTCTTAAAACTAGAATTTTCTTTAACTATATCTAAAGTCTCTGTTTGAAAGCATAAACTACTTTTACCCACACATGACTTTTATGTTACATTTTGATTGATTGCCTTTATTGATCTCACAGTGGAGAAATGTACTTGTTATTTGTGTCCTTTATACAACTCTCCCTAATTAAAACCTGTGCTTCCCAGCTTTTTTGTTTGCAAAACTATTGATGGAATCCCAGATAACTTAGCTGTTGCCATGGAGGATCTTGGGTAGTTCTTTATTGGTTTGAGTTCAGTGAAGTTCCTCCCTGCAGATGCAACAGTTACAGGGAGAGTGCAGGCCACACTGAGAGCTACAGAAGGTTTGTGTTGAATTCAGATCTAATTTTGAGAGGGTTGAGTAAACAAGGTTAGGATTTCTGGAAGTTTTGTTTCCATCCAAACAGACATTTTTCTTGGAAAATATTACATGGATCCTTCTTCAACGTTGTGTCAATCTGACCCCAAGCCTTTTTTGGGGGGTATAAGTAAGGATTTCTACATGATCAAAAGATAAATTAATAAATATACAAATTTTTTTTCTTTTATTATATGTATATAAGAACTTCTTATTCATGGAAAAGAAAAAAACAATCAACTGATCATAGGGATCCCTAAGCATTCGCCTTGGTTAAATTTTTCCTTGGGCCAGACCTAGAAAACATCAGTCACATCTCTAGTAATTGTAATAAAGCTCAGTGAAACAGATTGACAATAACATAGAACCAAGATTTTGCTGTGTTATTATAAACATTTAAAGAAAATCTGTGCAATAGGATCTCATTGCTTTTATTTAATACAGAGAAACAACAATGATCTCACTTATTGTTAAAAAAAATAGGTTATATTGAGAACATGATAGTAAAAGTTGCTTCATTTTAGAATGTATTATGAGTGAAAAAGAAAATAGAGATCTAAAAACAAATGATAATCCATCTTTTGTTTATATCTTGGGTGGGATATGGGTCTGGTGTGCATTTTGAGCTTTGGACAGTCCATAATAGAGATAGACGGGATAAACTAGTATGCACGCACGCATTTATATCCGGGCAATTTAGAGCAACCTCTTTTAGAGTGTTGGAGGGACCTGGAGAACCTGAGGGAGAGAACAATTCCAAACAGAAAAAAACAAAGCCAGGTTTTAAAACCTCATATGAAGCCATAGTAATATCAACTGGGCAGTCCAGCTGTTCCAGTATGGCAGTGTCTAAGAGAATAGTTTCCAGGATGTTGCATGCATTATGTCAAAGATAATGTGTGCAGTAGAGTTCATGTTTTTCCTTAGTTCAGGTAAAGAAGTACTTGAAATGCCTCCAATGACGGTCCCTCTCCGTTCCAGTGTAACGACACACCAGGTTACAAAGCATTGTCCATACGATGTGGATGAGCAGATGATCTTTACAGATGTTTAGAGAGGGCTGACCTGACTCGGATGCAACACCAGTAGAGTCTACAAACCAGACCATCATGGCTAATATCAGTGTCAGACCCAACAAATACCCATGTGGAAGAATAGTCAAAACGTTTTATGAAATATTTCCAAATCAGATGGAGAATTTTACAAGCAGAGTTGAAGCTTTTTATGTCTATAAAGGGTGGGCAGACATCAGATTTAACTGTATGGATTACAAATCAGATATCACTCAACTTCATATCCAAGTGAGGGAGGTTGAGTGATTATTTTAGTAATATAGTGCATAGTAATCAGTTTAAGCCACATTTTTCATTAGTCTTCAACTGAGTGCTATACTTATGAGCACTCTCTTCTGGGCAGATTAACTGTGAAACTATAATACTAACATTAACTGGTTACTTTGACAGAGTACCTGCTTAGGCACAGCCTGCAGCTGGTTGATTAACAGATATACTGCTTAGGATAGTGTCAATAATAGGGATGGATGGGCTTCATTTGGTTTCCACACCATCAATCTCCATGTTTACCACAACTGGAGCTGTTTTTAAACAGCCAAATTTATTTTTCTTATGTGAGAAAAAATGCATTGCCCTTCTTTTTATTTTTTACAGCCAGTTAATCAGCTGTGCACAGTATCAGGTGAGCGAAGGACAGCGATGTTCTTCTCCATACAGGCATGGAGAAAATTACAGTCACTTTGTCACTCTCTCGCTGTCTCAAAAAAAGGATTTTAAACTGCGAGAAAGGTAATAGTGTGTGAAAATGGTAATTTTCAAAAACCTGGTTGTACTCTGATGCCAATAACCAGACCACATTTATTAAGATTTAACACGGCCCCTTTATTTTCAGTATCAAACCCTTTAATAATTATGATGATTATGTGTAGAATCTATTTTATGTTTTCAAAGGATGAATGTTTTTTAGCCATGTTATCAAAGTGTTAAGCTGTGTTTTAGAGGCATTGGGTCACAAAAAGTGTGATGGAATTAGGCCTGAGTTGCTCCTTTTCTTTATCTATAAACTGACTTATCACTGTGAGAAAATGAGAGAAGCAAATGCCCTGGGAAAAAAAAAAGAAGTTGAAGAAAACAGCTCATAGAATTGCCCTCCCTCTGAACTCTGAATGAAAGCGTGTTGAAACCCTACAAAACTTGCATTTTTTAACAGGATATAGCATCTTTTCCCTATCCTTCTTTCATCTGAGTCTGTACACTTATTTAGTACAAGGTTAGTTCTTGGATTTGCAGTTAACCTTTCACCAACCTCTTCCCAGCCCTACTTCCTTGATACCATAGTGAAAAGGCCCGGGGCAGTATGACCTTCTGAACTTACAGAAAATAGAGCCTGGGTAACAGCCTGGCCCACTGTGAGAAGGTCACAGGTTTATTTCACATTGGCTCCCAATGTGTCTCAGAGCAGAAAACACAGAGTATCTGGAGGTAACTGACAATAAAGAGCCTGGCAGTTTATTTATAGAATGCTTAAGATTCATTCGCTGTGCATGATACTGGATTAGATTTTGTCCTTGGAAGTTTCTCTGTTAGAGGAGAATAATCTGGAAGTGTCCTTGTATGTTAGATATGTTTGCAATTCTCACAGAGTTATCTGAACTCTGAGGGTTAGGAGGTTGTAGCCCCAGTTGTGACCCAATTTTTGAAAAACGCTAAAATGCCCTTTTGGAAGCAAAAATGCATGCTTAAGTGCCCTCTCTTGAGCCAGGGTGTGTGTGCTAAAGTGCCTCCATTAGAGCCAAAACGTGCTAAACTGTCCTCTCGGGAGGAGAAATGCATGCTAAAGTATCCATATGGGAGACAAAATGTGTGCTAAAGTGGCCCATTGGGATCCAAAACATGTGAAATTATATTTTTTAAAACACTGTACAGTACAGTACAGTACAGTAGTTTAGTTAGTTTTTTTTAACTCCCACTTATTTTGGTATTTATTTTTTAAATATACTTTTAAGGTCCACATTTGCTTGACCACTTTTGCTGTAATGCTGCTGTAACAACACAATTCCCAATTTCTATTCTACTCTAGAGTATCCCCTTGGACACCAAAGTGCATGCAAAAGTGGTAGCCGTAGCGCATGCTAAACTTCTCTCGGGAGGCAAAGTTAATGCTAAATTGACCCCTTGGGAGCCAAAATCCGTGCTAAAATGCTCCTCAGGGAGCCAAAATGCAAACTAATCTGCCAATTCTAAAATAGTTTATTAATCCCAAAGTGAAATTAAATGTTGCACCTACTCATAGTTTATTTTTTTAAAACAGGTGTTGCAGGTGTTGATAGCTGTAAGCAGGAAGTATCTTCTGTGTCCCCTTGGGAGCCAAAATGTGTGTTAACATGCCCTCTACAGTGATCAGGTCACGCTATAAAACAAGCAATTGAAAGGTTTGACTCGTTTTAAATAGACTAATGAAATTTGCTAAAAACAAGAACGAATTTCATAAAAGGATTTCTCTTTTTGTCTTAACAGAGACTTAAATTGTCTCAAGTGAATCAAGGTGGAAATTTTCAGATCCTGTTGCAGAGTAACCTACGGTATGTTGATGGGGCTGAGTAGGAGAACGTCTTTTCTCCAAGTTCTGACTGCACTGAGGGAATAGTGAGGGAGATGAGGACAAGTAGGGCGGAAAAAGTCCAAGGACAGTTTAATAGATAAAGATATATCAATGCAGGAGCCTATGAATTGATAATAATGGCCAGCTCACCTGAGAATATAAATGACAGCGGTGAGTGAAAGATTTACATCCTGTTATAAACCTCAGAGCACCATGCTAGATTGCGTCGTACATATGGAGACAGATGCATTGGAATAAAAAGCAGCAGAATAATCTTACAAGGGCATGGAGGCCACTAAAACAAGATGCTTTATAGTACTGAAAGGAAATAAAAATATAAATGTCCTAAGAGAAAGCCTAGTTTTACCTTCAACTGCTTTACTAAATTTTCAATATGAAACTTAACAAAAATACACCTTCCTTACTATAATGACAGGTTTTCTGGTACTTCTCATCTTTAAGTCTGACTCAGATGAATCTAAATCTGTTGGAGTGTACAGACCTTTTGTAGAATAGGGGCAGAAAAAAAGGGCACTTATTGCAGTTTGTGATTTTTATTTATTTATTTTTATCATAAATGGCCTTTTCTTGAAGATGAGATCGTACAGTAAATCTCAATGAGATGAGCAATATATGTTGCTTATATGACCTGGAGACTGGTCGGGTCCACGGGACCTGCTGCATAAAGGTGCTTAATCATCCTATGTAACTTTTTATTTTTATTTTGCAAAGCCTTGGTCAAATGGAGGCAAAAAGGTAAAATATTTTTTTTAAACTAAAGTTGCAAAATAATTGCACATGTAAAACCTCTAAAAAAAAATAGAGCATTCATAGGGTAATAGAGCTAAAAAAAAAAAAAAAAAAGTACAAACTATTAAGCTGCCCTTAATACAGATTTGGTTATTGTCAGTAGATCTGCAACAGCCGCTACTACTGGCTCTTTTTCTAATGTTTGTCTTTGGTGAACATGAGGTGAGCATGTTTTCATTTTAAAAATAAGGTGTTACTGGTTCCAGTGACAGGATTACTGGACTCCCCATTCAGCTTTAAGACAATTAAGTCAGATTTTGAAGGGGGCTGAGAGTGGTTAGAGTCTTGCAACTGATTGGCCCACAGATCTAAACAGAGGGTGGTATTAGAATGACAAGCCGCTCCTATTGGCTGGGGAGTGAAGCCAGTGCTTTCCCATCTGGCTCCTGTTCTTCAGGGATAATCCTCTCAAATACCTTCACAGATGTTTACAACACAATATAGACTGGAAGAGCAGAATTTAATTTTGGCTCCTGTTGGACTTTATCATTGTATCTATTTTTTAATATTAACATTTTAAAGATCACAAATTATATATAAAAAAGAAAATCTAAAAATAAGTCATCCAAATGGCTACATTTTTGTTTATCTTTGGTTTATCCTCTTAAAATTGTATTATTTAGGTCATTGGGTTCTGGTTTTAATGCATACATCTGATTTATTGCCAGGGGGTCAAAAAAGGCACAACCTACCTAATGAACTAAATGAAGAACTGTGCACTGAAATAAGAGAATCCCATCTTTTAAAGGCTGGAGAACAACACTGACTCATACGCAGCAGAGGGAAAGGATTTGTTACACCCTGAATGACAGACTAAAGGATTTTAAAGGCATTCGGAAAATTGGTGATCTCATTTATGGGAGAGAAGGACAGAACATACAATACCCTGGGATCAGTTATTAATCATAGCACCTACAAAGATGGGATAGTTAGTGGGGAGAGGGGAGAATGGTGGCATGCCTCTGTCAAATGTCCTTGCCTCATTTTTATTTTTTTTCATCAATGTTTATAGAATTTTAAAGCCAGTAATACTACTACAGAGTTATATTTATCATGTTACTTTAATGTCTTATGACAACAATATTAGAAGCAAAATTAAACAGTTGATTGTAGACTAATGAAACACTGAATGAATGCATTTCAGGTGAAGGTTTAAAATCCTTCCACAAGGGGGTGTATAACTCCATAATTTTAACACGGGTCCATTATAAATTTATTATTATGTTCACATTCTGTAGGGTTTAAGATTTTTTTTTTTAAATCTGTTTATGTGAGACATTTTATATAAAAAACAACAAACAAATGTGTTATATATATATATATATATATATATATATACACACACATATATATATATATATATATATATATATATGTGTATATATGTGTATATATATATATATACACACAAGCTGACTGATGGGGTAAACCAATTACAGTATTCAACACAGAATTGAACTTTTGTTCCTTGTGTGTGAGGGTAACAATTAGCAAAACTAGATACAGATTAGTTTAGTCCATAGTGCACTTTAACAAAGGAACTATCTTTATATATTATATATATATATATATATATATATATATGAAAATTATGACAGCAAAAGTATGTCGATATATTTTATTTCCATCATTTGATAATGTTTTCCTCTATTCATGGGAAAATATAAAATATATAATTCATCATTCAAATAAACAGAATCAATTATGACTGAAATGTAATTTTTCCATAGTTCAAGGTGGACTTCACAGTGGAGCAGTTGTCTTGTAGAAAGGTGGTCTTTAGTTGAATCCCTTCTGCATGCAGTGTGCAGGTTCTCTCCTCCTGGACTCCAGATTTATGACCACTTGGTTAATTAGTTTCTCAGTGGAAGACCTGTGCAGGTTGTGAACCAGCCTTTTCCTTAACGACTACTATAGATAGGAAACTGCAAATGCAAGTTGGTGAGTACAGTGAACGGATGAATAATTCATTTTTTAAAGTGCACTATCAATAAATTAAGCTGTAGCTCTGGTTTTACTAATCATTACCCTCAACCACAAAGACCAAAAGTGCTACTTGTTAATGTATTATTTGAAAGTTTAATTCTGCAGTGAATGCTGCAATTAGTTTACCTGATCTATCATCCTTACTCAAAGTAATTATAAACACACACACGTTTGGTTTTTTTGTATATAAAATGTTGAGCATTTACTTCCTGGTTAAGATGCAGCATTGTTTTTCTATAGACATCAAAAAGCAAAACCACATTCATAGTTACAGTATAGCCATGCTCAATTAAAATATTGATAAAACATGAAAAATAAATAAGTAAAAACAGGCTGAAAACTACAGATTACCATTCTTCCATCTTGTAGTTGTGCAGCTCTCTGTGCCGGTCCATCAAACCCAACCAATCACAAGGCCTAGAAGCTGGAAATTCAACCCCTATGCTTAAAAAAATATGGAGATTTGCCACATTAAAGTACATTAAAATTGTTTCGTTTTAGTCAACTTTTTGTTACATTTGGAAACATACTGTGACATGAATTTTGCAATGTTTGTCCGCCAAACAAAATTAGTACGTAGATTCAAAAAAACAGAAGTTAAACTGAACATCATAAAACAGATGCATATTTAGATGCAGACTGTTCCAGTTCATACACACTAAACCCGTTTCTAAATTATTTTGGGGAACCTCAGGGCACTAAACCCACAGAGGGACACAGCTGGGGGAATATTAAGTGTATCTGGGCTTTTCATTAACTTCTTAAACTTCCGGAAACTTAACGGGCTCTGCACTTAACAAGTAAAAGAGGAATCAGGTAAAGCAGTTAATTAAAACCCAAATGTTGCTTTCCAGAATTAAATTTTTATTTGTTTGTTGATATGATACCAAGTCAGTGCTTACAATAAAAGTTGTGAAATTATTACAACAATAAATTGAAAACTCTATATATTATGATTCATAAAGTATAAAAATAAAGATTCTGTTTTATATTCATTCCCATCCCATTAGATTTTTTACACTTTTTGTAGAAAAAGGAAAAAAAACAGCTGCACAAATACTGGTTGATATACAGTAATATATGGCATTGATCCTTTGTAATCAATAATTGTATTATTCAACATATTTAACAGAGCGCTTATGTTAGGCATTGACAGTACATTAGGATACAAACAGTAGTGGAAAAAGCCAATTAGCTTTACCAGTGGCTTACTTTTTTTTCTTATTTGAAATAATGGCAGGTTTAATTGAGGTATGACCTGTGGTCTATGTAAGTTTTAACCTTTAATGTTGGAAAACGTTGGAGTCTAAAAAGATGCATGCAAATTTGTAGAGTAATCTAGCATACCAGTGTACATCTGATATCTCCAAGAAGCACTGCTCCTGATCTTTCACAGCGAGAGGTTCACTGCCATTGTCATGTTTGTTTATACTTGCTTTGTCCGATGCAGTCAAAGTGCCAAACTGTTTTTCAGTCTTAGTGCAAGCTGATTGCTCTTCTTTTGCAGTTTTCCTCCAAAATAACTGGTCCAGTGAGTGGAGAAGTCGCAAAGGTCCAAATGCCCAGTGTGCAAGGTTGTGGTCCTCCAGCAGTGCGTAGCTGGAAACCAGCACCCCGTCAACAAATAAAGTTCCAGCTTCAGTCAAGGGTGCAAACACACCCATGCTTTCAGTGAGAGAAATGGACACGATCCGAGATTTTTCAGTTTGGCCTCCTGCCGTGCTGATGAGGACACAGTCCCCAACTTTGGCCCTGCTGGCAAACTGAGCCTGATGCTCCCTGTGTCCGCAGTCAGGGTCTAAAAACATTAAATGATGTGTAGTCAGGACCAGTCGGTGTCCACCAGCTGTCTCCAGAGACAGAAAGAGAGACTGTTTTTCCTGATCCCGGTGCAGAAACAGGAGTACTTGGCTATAAATGACTTGGCCTGTCCCAGACAGAGCCAGGACCCTGTCGCCAGGGGCCAATGATGACAGAGTCTTCTGCTTCCCTCCAGCAACGGTCACCCGGGCCCAGCCTGGGAAACAGCCACCCCTTTCCACTGCTTCAGATTTATCTGCAGAGATGATCGAAGAGAAAGCATTCCATATCATTTCAAGAAACTGAAAAAGCTAAAAAGATGACATTTAAACCTCACATACCTTAATACATGAGAATAAGTAGATGTTAGTTTTAGCATTTTATGTAGATTCTTTTATAAAATTATATTTTATATACATGTCATCATTCAACAAATGAAAAACCCACAGAAATCCAAATGTTAAAAGCAGAAATGTTACACTTGACCTACGCAATTATAGGGAAGACTGCTGACTTGGACAGTAGTCCAACACAGTCATTGACATCTTCTGCAGGGAGGGGAGGTACAAAAGATCAAGATGCTGCCTTTTCATTGCATGATGTATCCAAGCATATCAATGGAAAATTAAGTGGAAGGAGTGAAAAAATGTTTAAAATAGATACAAATGGAATCCTGATCAGTTTAAGAAGTTAGATTTACGAGGCGATTACAGCCACTGGAGTCACAGCTTCAAGCTTTTCTGCTTACAGACATATCCTGTTCTCTGTGATAGATTGTTCTTAAACCAAATGTGGCTTTATAAAGATTTCCCAGTATGACTTGGTTTTTTCCTCTTAATATTCATTATCTGCTAATGGACCCTGGTGTTTTTACATTTTATTGGCCAGAAAACCAGGCCAAGCGGCATCCCATAGACCAACAGTTCAAGCAAGCTGAAAGCCACTACTGGGCATTGTGGGATACCCATCATGCTGAACATATTCAGTAATTCATGCAAAGTTGATGTACAGTGCATGGACATACTTTTAAAGAGGCTTATATCTCTGTGCCAAATTTCCCCTTTTCAAATTGTTATAGTCAGATATTTTAACTTCCTAAGCAATAACTGTCGGTTCTTTATTAACTTAATGTAATAATAATCAAATTTACGGAAATACACATTAACAGAAAATGTGATAAAAAAAATTCATTATGATAATATTTTACTCTACTGAAACATAGTTGTGGTTGCAAATAATCCTCACCTGCTTTTACTGAACAGTGGATGTGATATCTGGACTCATAATGGACCCAGTCAAAGCCGGCCTCTACAGCCAGCTGAGCCAGGATGCCGTACTTCTTTGTTTCTCTGTCATCCGTAGTTATATCCACAGCCCGGCCTTCGTAGTGCAGAGAGCCTGGAGGGTGGTGGCCGTCTTCATCCCAGGCTTCTGTCACACGCAGGTGCACCCCTGGCCACTGGTTCATCACAGCAATTGCAAGCCTGTTCAAACAGTCCTTACATCTCTGCAAGAGAACAAAACAGAGTGGAGTTTTAGGATTAGAAGAAATCAGTTTACAGGCAAGTGCAGATCCTCAAGCCTGGTTTTTAGCTCCAAGGGTGCTTCATGTTTTAAACATCTCATTTGAACATTTTGATTAAAAAACTGGCATGCAAAAGAGATTATCATTTTATATGGCATGCTGGAGCAGCAACATAACTAAAACAAAGGTTAGTAGGTAGGACCACTGGGGTAGGAGGACAATATGAGCTTTTCACAATTAAACATCACCATTAATACCCTTTTCTTGACTCTGATATCTCACTAAAAAGAATATAAAAATATAAGAATATAAAAAGAGACAAAAGAAGAGTGGAGCATCACTGTCAACACCATGAAATTTCTACCAAAGACACAGAACATCATTTGGGTTCTAGTTTTTTTTTAAATCACTATTTCATTAAGAAAATTAGCTAAAGCTGCTGTAATCAGTCCTATACAAAATTATTTTTTTAATTATTATTAAATATGCTATTTGTTCAATAAGACATGACTAAATCAGATCTTTTCACTTTCCATTCTGTAAATGATAGCTGAATTAGAGAAGCATCTGTCAGGATTTTCCTTATTGAGGCCAATTTCTTTTAGGTCTGATTCAAAAAGGCAAATAATGAATACATTTTTTAAAAAGTCAAGGTTTTTCCAGCTCATATGCATATTTTTGACTTGCTTAATTTCACTAATAGTGATTAAAAGTACAAGCAGTTGGTTGACTTTCTTTAATTTTTTAATTAAAAGAAACAGGTGGGAGCTATAAGGCTGTAGGCAGTTTCAAAGGAAAGAAGAAAATTGTCAATTCCAATCAATGCAAAATCTTTAAATCTAAATAAGTAATTTTTTCTTCAAATAAGTGCATTTGTTTATTCATTGAGGAGATAAGTTAGACACTTTGCAAAAAAAAAACAAAAAAAACAAGACAATTTACATTTAAAATAAGAAAAAATAAATTGTTTTATTTCAACTGCACATTATCTAATTATCTTATTTTAAGTGTAAAAAATACTCATCCCATTGGCACATCATCCAATTTACCTACTCAAATTAAGGGTAAATACACTTAATTTAAGAAATACTGACTTATTTCTAGATCGTTTTTACAGTTGGCTGCTTAATATTTACCTTTATGTGAGACACTGAATCTAATTACCATCCAAATAGTCCTTTACAGGTTTCGTTTCTTTAGCTATGAAAGTTTTCTTTGAAAGAAAAACTTCTCCATTCCCTCCTCAGACATGCTCGGTACGGTGCCTAAGCTGAACTCGTTCCAACATCATATGTGAACAGCAAAGGCAGTGCTAATTACTGTAGCCACATATCCCAGTCAACACCTAAGTATAGAGACCGATAAAACACAGATCCTCCCTCACACTGCTAAAGGCCATCTGAGCTTTGTGCAAACAAACTGTCTGCAACCTACTGTAGCCAGTTTAGCAAATTCTTTGGCCTTTTCATCAGGGTTACAGAATAATCAAGGCCATTCTCTGCCTTTCCAGATTGTTCCAGGCTCTAGTAAGACACTTTCACCCCCAAGACATTTGATCAAATGTGTGCACAGTGACTCTTAACACCCCCATGGCTATAATGTTGCAGACTGTGTCAGCATTGTCGCAAAATAGAGTTGGGGGAACCAAAAAGATGATGAGAGCAGCAGCTTCTGAGATGCAGTCGTTATTTCTTCAGAGCATGATCAGTTGAGTCATTTTATTGCCTCTACAAGGTTTCATGTTTTTTTTTTTTCTCCAAGAATAAATTTATGCAAGAAAATAAGAGAAAAGGCAATAAAATACGGATGACAGCAAGATCAAGAGCTCGGTGAGAAAAAAGCAATGCAGAGGAGGGTAGAGGTTGAGGCGAACAAGGAGGCCAGAGGGGAAGAATGTATGGGCTTGGACTTGGGAATGTGACAGAAAGAGTGAGAAAGAGTGAGGGGCAGAAAACAAACTGGGTACATTTCTCTGGCAATGCCATTGAAGAGAGGCGTTTCATTGTCACAACTACAATAGTCGCTTTTCCAACGGTGCAATTACTTCAGCAGGCGGGAATTTTAGTATAGGCGACCTTTTCGGAGTTCTCGAAGTGACGCACAAAGAGCGTCTTTCACGTGTACAGGGGGTCACATGCACACATACACACGTTCTGATTGGGAACACAGAGGGTATGCATATACAATTAAAGATTTCCATCACATAAAATCACTCCAGAAGTGGGAAGGAATACAGATCTGCATCCTAAACATTCCCTGCGGTGCAAACACAAATGAATAATTCTTCTGGTAAGGAAACAAAGTCTGCAACTCAAATCGTTTTGTTTTGTTTCACAAAGTCTTTGGTTAAAGATTAAAAAGGAACAGTTTCTCTGAGGAGCATGTGTGCAGAATTACATCCTGATCTTCTCACCTATAAAAGCTGCAGCAGGTGGAACAAAGGTTTCAGAAAACAATGACTAAGGTGCCTTGATTTGATATTAAGGTAACATATTAGCATCGCAAAAACTATATGAGCTGTTAATGCCAGTCAGCATCTGTCTGCAAAAAATTAGATGGACAGTAATACAACAAACAAACACATAAGCACAGATTTAATCAACCAACCTGTCTTTGATCACTGAGCAGCTGATCAAATACCTGAAATGTATTATCCGCTCATTCAGTAATTGCATTAAAATGAAAACCTCCTGACCATTTAGGTTTGTAAAAAAGTTTTTTTTTTGCATTCATAAAGGGACAAATGCTTTAATGAATAATCTTATATTTCCATTTATTTTCTCCTTTTATTAACCAATTTTTTCAGCTAATTTATGCATTTAACAAGAAAGATTCACAAAATGCATCTCTTTAAAACAAAATACAGCAAGTTTTCTCTTCTATGCATTATATTCAATTAAATAAATAGAGGTAAAACAATCAGAGACAAGGAGAGTTAAATCAGATGCCAGACAATGCCTTTTTGGTGGACCTCTCAAAATGACCTTTAAATCAAAAGCACAGTTTTTCACTAATGGGTTGTATTCTTTCTTTAGAATACAGACTTCTAAAATCATGGGGGCAGAGCATGGTTTAAAGGAGGGACAGGGACTCCATAGGGAAGAAGGAGATTATCTGGGATTTGATTACGGACATTAAGACTTTCTCTGAATGTTTTCTCTCAGTTTCTCTGCCCATTTTCTGTCTGATAATTCTTGATGATGTCCACAGGCTTTATCAGCAAAAATCACGATCGGAAGTAAAACCTCTAAGAAAATCAAATATTGGTGTCATCCAGGAAAAACCTGATCAGTGCATCTTTCCCATTTGATTGTAAAGATGAACAAATCTTTATTGTTTGTTCTGACAATTAACCCCTTTAAGATGAGTTTTCCAACTGAAATCAAATGAGAAATGTATAACCACACCATTATAGGCCTTACCTTGGTCATGACCCGGTCTGCGCTGGTGTTCTCCTCATCCTTGAAGATAATGTCTGGGTTGTAGTTGCACACCAGCTGATTGAAGCGCTCCGAGTTGCGTGAGATCTTGCCCTCAGCCCTGCCACTGGCCCCAAGGGTGTTCTCTGAGAAGTTTGGGAAGAACTGCTTGTAACGCATCGGTGTGAGCTTCCTGGGCCTGGAACGCGTGCCGTACCCAGGACCCGGTCCACATCCCTGGACCACGCCTAACCAGGTACAAGCAGCGAGCAGGCCAAGCGGTGCCAGGCTGGCCCACCACGACTGCTTCATTGGGGAGGGTTGGAGCTCAGAGGCTCAGGGTGACAGCCCAGTTCAAGGTGTGTGACAGCAACTGAAGGAGGGTAGGATCTTGGTCCATACTAAATCATGGACTGCTGGTGCTGATGGACTAAAAAGAACAAACCTACAATGCACAAATCTGGGGGGTTTAGATTGTTTTGTATAAAATAGGCATTGATCAAAAGTAAGTTTAAATCTATAAAGTGAATGCTGCAGCTTCTAGAACAAAAAAAAAAAGCTGTTCAAAAAAGTGATCTGATTGGTTAAAGTATTGCTAAAGTTAAAGCAGCATGAGGTCTGTGATGATGGATCTCCTGGATTCCTCCGCAGGTGTTTTGGAGGGTTTCTCCTCACTTACCGCTTCCCTCTCCTCTCTAACTCCTCTAAAGGAGGCGCACACCTAAAGTCCGACGCTTTTCCTGACTTTCAAACCTTCCTCTGGCGCTGACATCCTCTCTGTGCGTCCTAATTTCTCGCCTCTTTTTTAGATCTGCTTTCTGTTTCGTCCACCGTCTCCGGTCGCGTCCCTGCGCTCCTGGCCACCTTGCGCCAGCCATTGGGTCTTATTAGCATCCGGACAGATTGCCCTCCCTTCCTCTGCGCGCACAGCACACGCCTCCAATTCAGCCATACAAAGAACATATGATGTTAACACAATGACCATCAATTACCCATTCCGGATGATTAACCCTTTCATCATATATGGGTATATTTGTGTTTTGCTTCAAAAGAGCTTTTACACTTGAAAAGGTGTAAAGATACAAATTTAAATAGCATTGAAAAGTTTTTAACTTTAACAGATTCATATTTAAAATAAAGAAAAAGAATTGCTGCATATAGAGTAATATTTTAAACATTTATTTTGTTAAACTTCATTAACTAAGCTAAAAAATGAAATTCAGGCTCTCTGAAATTGTGAGAATCACATAAGTGCAATAAAAACTGATCTAAAAAAAAAAAAAAAAAACACACAAAACAGAAGCTGACAGTTATCCATACATTGGATCCTCTAGGACAGTTTTTCCTAACCTTTTTTGGATTGTGTTCCCCTTTGGGCATTTTGTCTCACCATGAGTACCCCTAGGCAGTTGCCTAAGACCCTAAGTTCCTGGGGGCCCCATAAAACTCTTTTCCTTATTTGTGCACATTAATTATGTTTTTGATCAGAGGCGTAGCCAGAAATCTTTTTTAAGTGTGGCCAGGCAATAACCAATGTACACTGAGGGATGGCCAAAAGCGGATAGGCGCCAGAACCTCAGGGTAAATCTACAACAGGAAAATTAACAAGCAGAACATCCCTATTTCTAAATAAAGACAAACTATAATTTTCTAAAGCCTTTGCTAACAAATAGATGCATCTACAGTGGATAAAACTCTTTTAGTTTTGAATTCTGGGTTGTAAATCTTTACCATTGTCATTACTTACCTACTTGTATCAATAAACATTCTGTATAAAATTTATATTTACAAGCACTTATATCAACATAAATTGATTATTTGAAAAGTTTTTATTAAAATTGTTATTTATCTATGATTTCACTGTAGACTCCTAGATGACTTTCAGGGACACATAATTTTCTCTTTTCCCCATATAACAGGAAATCTAGTTCTGAAAAGAGCATGAATTCTGTACTTATCATATTGGATGTTAGTATATTGATGTGTTTAATTAACCACAAGAAATGAAAATGTTTTGACCACCCCTGGCCCCCCATCTGGCTATGCCACTGTTTTTGATAAAAATCCTTTTAAAATCCATTCCTGCAGCTATTATTTCATACAAATAAAAAATGGAGAACAGATAAGCAGATCATGGCTTGTCTACAGTGAAAAGAAGGGCTGAGTTATTTACTTTTGCTGTCGCCTTTTTGAAAAACACAGGAAGAGCAATCAGCTAAGTGAGCTTAGTGCTTCCATTCCTTTTCCATTTTTGAGACGAAAACACGAAAAGTCAGCTGAGTACAAAACATAGAGAGGAAAACAAGAAGAAAAGGGACAAGAAGAGAGGGACAAAATGTTAAACAAATAATGTATGTATATTCTATTAAAATATCTGTATGATGGTTCTGTTTTATGTGTTGTCTTCTCAATTCAGAGGGCCCCCTGCCTGTCTTTGCCTAGGGCCCCAGATTTCCTAAATCAACCCCTGCCTCTCAGTCAAAAGGATTGATGATTGTCCAAAAATGAAAAGTACAATACATGATTATAAAATAAAAACTATTTTACTTACTATTTTTACTTTACTTAAATCTTTTAACCTCAGCATTTAATTAATATCATTGTATACTTTCCATCTCATATAAAAAATAAATTAAAACTGGAGCTCTATCAGACTCCACAACCACCACTGTTCCCAATGACCTCAATAAGATGTTTTATTCATGCTGAGTTTGAAGTTTCTACCTTAGTCAGTTAAATAACATGCTGCTGTCATTTTGCACATCTCTGATGTTGCTGCTTTTGTCAAATATGCATTACTGTAATAATGTCTATAGCTGGATATTGGTTATTTATTCTCCAGGTGCACAGTTTTTATATTGTTAAAACACTTTACAGTACAGTATTTTACTGTTTATCTTTTAACTCTTCCCTTTTGTGTTATTCTTATACATTTTTCTAAGGTCAACATTTGTGTGACAATTTTTTCGATATTTTTTGCTGCTGTAACACCAGAGTTTCCCCATTGTGGGACAATAAAGGAATATTCTATTCTATTCTATTCTCCTCTGAGTAAATCCATTATAAATACATTTAAAGCTGATAAATTGGGAACAAAATGCAGAACAAAAATGATAGACTGACTTAATTAGTTTTACTTTGTTTTCATCAAGACAAAACAGCTGATCCTATAGGCTGTTCTTTACTTATACCGGTATGTGTGTATAAGTCAAAGAAAAAAAACTTGTGTAATTTTTCTATTGGGTCCAAAGCAGAGCAGATCCCAGCACTATTTTATTGTACTACCTAAGAAAATATATTTTTGTACCCATTACAAAACCCTTGCCGACCACTAGTGGTCCTTCCTTTGTTAAGGCAGCTGTATGTTAGGTAAGTGCTGTATCCAAGCACATTTCCATGGAAAGTTGGGTGGAAGGACAAAATCTGGTGGAAAAATGGGTACACAAGAAATACACCAGCTTAGCTAAAGGTCACCTTCCTTGTATTAAGCTACTCCTGAACCAAAGACAACACCTGGCTGAGAGCAAACAGTTTTCTGGTGGTCAAAAGTCCCCTTTATAGATAAAACTAAATGAAGCATTTCATTGGAAAATCATGTTGTCTAATTATTGAGGGAAACGTTGAAAAGTGCAGAATCTCAGTTGATTGAAGTTTCCAGTAAAGTCAGTAAAGAATTGGGTACAGACATCATCTGCTTTGAATTTTGTTGTTTTTAAAGTAAGCACTGCTGTCCACTAGGAAAGCTCAGGCCACTTGATGCTGCTTTAAAGCCTTATGTGGACATTGATTTTATTTTCTATCAGGGCATAATATCTGCCTGTCAAAAAGATGCCAAAACCTGTTTTAATTATCATTATGTTATTTGGTTTGTTTGGCAAGCAAACCGACCTGACCCGAAATCTTTACAGAATCTATATAGTATTGCAAAAAAGAACACAGGACACATACAACCCTTCAACGATGCAGTTACTCTTTAAAAAGAAGAAAGTGTGTATTCTGTACACTACATAGACACTGCATTTAGAAATAATTTTTTTATTGAGGTTACACAAACATTTTAATAAGTTTAAGGTATAATTAGCAAAATAAAGAGAAATAAATGAGTAAAATTATCACTTTGTGAATACATAAGTTCAACCAAATTGACTCTGTTTATGGAAATTTTAAATTATATTCTAATTAGGTGTGCTGGAATATTCATCCATGTACCAACATATGTTAATCCTTCCAACATATTGGAAGGATTAACGTCCACGGCTGTGGAAAAAGGGAAACTCAGATTCTGTGCATCATTTCCTACACAGACCCTATATCTCATACTGTATATCCCAAGTTTCCTCTTTCTAAGAAACATAATTAGGATCTACCTTTATCATCCTCAAACTTAGAATTTATCTCCACTAAAAACAGCCACACAACAACATAATAGAACATATATATCTTCACATTAGGTTTATTCTATAACAGACTGATGTTGAAATATGACTTTATGTGTTTTGAATGCATGCAAGAACAATATAATAAAATGCAGCCAGTGATGCATGATGTCCAGTTTTGCAGTCAGATGATTATTGAGAACATAGAATTAGTTTTCTAGAATGTAAGCGACTATTTGTTAATGGGCGTCCTCGTATGGTTTTGGCGTTATCTTTGCCCATCCCACCCCCTCAAATAACTTATTATTAGACTGAGTTGAAGGTGAGACGACCTAAGAAGAAGCACAAGTGTCCTGCCTTGATACCCCTGACCATGACTTACAGTGTTGCCTTCCTGTGTTCGGGTAGCTGACCTGACCCCATCCGATTCCCTGTAACCCCTCAGGATCTCGTCGCTGCAACGCCCCATGGCCAGATCGCTAACTTATTATTTTTATCCACCTAAAGACAATAGGTTGGAGCCTCATAAAATATCTCCGATAATGGCAGACGAGAGAGAGAGCAAACATTGTGTCCCAAGGGTGAGACATCTGCAATCACCCAAGGAAGCTGAAATTAATGGCAGATTAAAGGTCAGAATTTCTCACAGCACTATCTCTAGTTTTCCTGACATACACAAGGCCCTGATTTTTAAGTAAAGCTCTTTAGCGCATTAACTTTCAGTATTATCCATACTCCTTCAACGTTTGTCACTTTTTGTCACATTAGAGCCAAATTCATTGTGTTGTGTTTTATGAGTAAAAACCCTTCATAGATTTCAATAACATTTTGATCAAAAGCGCAGACATCTCTCCATTTAAGGACCAATCTGTTTTTACATCTGTCCATCTTATCATCTAAACAGTTTTGATTTATTTGCTGAAGACAAACTATAAGTACAACATATTAGAAAATGGTCAAATGACCTAAGAAATCTATTTGCTGGCTGTCAATAGATGATCAATAGACCTGAGCTTCAAATCTCTGCAGCTCCTCTGGAGTGATAACGGGACTTTTTTAAAGAAAAAAAATAAATGGCAAGTCTACATTTAGGCACTTTTTGGTGTTGTTTTTTTTTTTTACTAACATCAGCATTCATACTGAGATTAAACAAGATAATGTGTTACTAAAAATGCTTTTTTTTCTGGATTTTATTCGAAGGGTCTAATAGTAAAGGAGAATTGGGTGCAAATGCATTTTCATTGCATTTCAGGTTGATCAGAGGGATAAAACCCAGATGGAGTAGATATACTTTAATTTAAACACAACTTGAGAAATGGTTTAAACTTTCGTAAGGCTTTGTATCTCCTAACAATTTATTATGACTTAAAATGAAGGACAGATATTTAAACAAAGCCTTAAAATAACATATTGATAGGATTTCTTTTTATTTTTTTTATTTCTACTTATGCGGTCACTGAGTTCCAGA